CATTATCTGAGCAGCTTTTGAGCTTGTTTGCTTCGCCTGCTTATTTATGCCAATTTGCATAAACAATGATTGCAGCATACAACATACAGCATACAGCCGGCGAGGATAACAAATTCTGGCAAACAGGTTGCTCAGACACATGGCAATTGTTTGCTTTATGTACGAGTGTGTTTGGGCATGTGTGCAAAAAGTTTGGGAATGCATCCTGCTGTCAGCTGTTGGCATTCCGCAACAGTTGAACTATAGTAGACCACCCATTGCGCCCTTCTCCTCCCTGCCATGCCATTCTTGTTGCCATTAATTAATTATGTAAACAGCTTAAATGCAAGTTTATTTTATTTACACATGTTTCTGCTCGCTTGCCTGTCTGAAACCAACAGGGATGTCATTTCAATAAATGCACTTGGGGTAAACTCCGATTAAATTCGCAAGCGTTTGCCACTGTTGCAAGTCGGTAGATGTTGCAAATGTAGTCAATGGCAGGCAGAGCCCCTTCAGCCAGTAAATCCTTTGAGCAGTCTCGAAATCAGCTGCCTCACTTCCGATTTTCTAACATTTCCGCAGCTGCACTTCCTTTTCGTTTCTTTCGCTTGCTTTTTGTGTGCCAGAGTACAAGATTTGCTTTTGAAATCCGGCGATAGCTTTGGCCGAAAGCATGCCGAATCTGTCATCAGGCTTATAAAGCACCACTGAGTTCCGAGGACCGAATATAAATCTATTGTCATCTTCCAAGGGAAACTTGGAGCGGGGAAACTAGCAGCTGGAATGGGGTCAATAACTCTGTATGGCAAACAAATTAATTTGCATAAACGAAAGCAATTTGTTTCCCCCTGGCTAACAGAAAATTAATTTAATTTATGTGTGTTTATTTGTATAGATGAAACGAAGTAAAGCATTAAATAGATGTGGTTTTTAATTAAGGGCATACACAGTTCCCATCCCGAAAAGTTTGCCAGCCCATTGCCACGTTCTGCGGCTTTGTAAGCTGATCCTGCTGGCTGTTTTGCGGTGAGCATCCCAGCAATCCACCCATCAACCCATCCCTCCATCCATCCACCTATCTACATCTACATTTACCCCCCCGAAAATGCTACAAACTAACTCAATCCGTCTGCACAATGCCAAAAGTGCGAATTGTAAATAGTTTCTGGCATCGGGCTCTGGCTTAACTTTAGCGATGGACTTTTCAAAGCGCTGCAGGGCACTAAGCAGGTACGAGGGAATCAAGTCGAAGGATTTCGGAGGGCTAAGTCCTACACTGTGGGAAAAGCTTAAGAAAAGCTTCTATGAAAATTCTGGAACTTATTATAAAACTAACGCTTTTTGTCTGTTATTTTCCCATAAGTCCCTTTCATACAAAGTATTGAAGATTTGTCTGTAATAAAATGGTAGTAAAGTACAAATTTGTTAAACATTTAAGAGAATAGAATCTTACTCTGAAATGTTTAACAGGTTATCACAAATACATATATTTTTAAATGAACCTTCTCCAATTGACCTCTGTTAATTATGGTTTCAGAATATGAATATTATTACCAAATATTTTATCTGTTAATCTTCAATTTTATAAGACTCATTTAAATGCGTAGTAAAGTTTAGAGTTGTATGTCAAAAAATGTTTAAAAATCACCCGAAAAGAAAATATAGATCAATAGAGTTCAAAACTTTTATCTGTTGGAACAATTTTGTTTTAGTGACATTAGTATGATAATAAACCAAATTACTCCCCGTGCACTTTGTTCGTATTGAGTATTTCCCGGCTGAGTTGCAGTTTCTTTTTTTTTTTCCTTTCCTGTGAAACACGACCCGTTTCCATCTCTATCCTGGCCCCCGCTTCCTGTATCCTTCATCCTGCAACTATGCATGCAATGCCTTCGAAGTGCCTTTTATTTGAGACCGCGAGCGGCGTTAGTTTGTTGCCTTTCAGCCGGAGCCATTCTGCCATTCTTGCCATTTTGCCAGAGCTCAATCACTGTGGGTGTGAGGCCTTAAAGGGGATTCCCCTTGAACAAGTGCTGGGTGGAGGGGGGCTGTTTGAGTTCTGTGTGCAAAGCGCCGACTTTCAGGCCACTTGAAGCCATCGCGCCTTCGCCGCCGACTGACATTTTGGTCGTCCTGGCTTTGCGGTTGTTATTGTGATGCTGTTGTCATCATTACTGTCGTCTAAGTTCACTCTACGCCGCTCTGCAGCTGCACATTCCGCCCATTTGGAGTGCCATTTGCGGCTTGATTTCTGCTCCTCGCTGCCCCGTCATTGTTGTCCTCCCTTTGATGCTGCTCTATGCAAATTAATTAGCAAATCTGCACCAGCAGCAGCAGCAGCACCAGTTTAGTTAATTCCTTAAAGTGTTGGCCTACGAACGCATTATGACACGCGTTTGAATTTGAGTTTGAATTTCCATGGCTAAACGCTCTCGTGTTGCCTACTTATGGGCGCCCCCACTTCAAAGGCCTTAATTAACTTTGGAGCATTTTCCGGGGAAAACTGTTTGAGTGAGTGTGCATGTGCATGTGCGTGCTCTCCATGGGGGATTTTCATGTCTGCAACGCACTGCACATTTTTGGCAAATTAAATTTTCCAGTTTCGAAATTGCTTCCAACTTCAATTGAAAGTTGATTAGTAGTAGTGCTCCCATTTCCCAACATCCCAGTCCGAAATTCAATTAGGTTCCTTTGTGTGTGGAGAAAAGAAGTAATAAACATTGTTTATTTTCCCCCCCATCGTGCATATGCATATATTAGGAACCCAATGGTTTCTGTGCAATACAAATCGACTTTGACCCAATTTTTTTCACAGGGCAGCTTCAAATGCAAACAATTCATTAATTGTGTAGCGACAAAAAAACACCCGAGGCGGACATGATTGATTGTGAAATTATGGAGGGAGTTCCGTGGTCTCCAGGCACGCATTCAGATTCAGATGGGTGATATATGTGGCTGTGTGACCTATCTGGCAATCGAAGCGTCAGACTTCGAGAAAATACGGCAGTCATTTGCCAAAATGGGGGGCCACAAAGCTCGTAAATGGGGGAAGATAAGGTAAGAGCCTATAAAATGGTTAAAATTACAAACATAAACAAACGTACAAGGCTGTTTTATTGTGTCCTTTTATTTTATTTGCAGATATAGCCTTTTTAATTCAATTGTTGCAATTGTTAATTTTCTATTCAATATGAACAATAAATTATGTTATAGTTTAGGAACTCATATTATTTCCCAGCCCACACATTTGACTTTTTTAAAATGTAATTTAATAATGATTTCATTTGTGAAAGGGCTAAAATAATTTAATTATATAAATAAATGAAATTTATTTTTATCCCGTTTGGAACTGGCATACTTGTGACTATTTCTTGGGAAAAACATATTCAGTTTTTATATTTTAATAATAAAAATGTTTAATAATGTTCAATGTTATAAGTTCTATTCATTTATTATATAAAATAGTTTAATTTGGATGATCGCTTGCATGAAAATCGACCAATTGAAATATATAAGTGCATGAGTAATTTAAGTTGCATACTTATGGAATTTCTCACGCATTATCAGGTTAAAAACCAAATAATGTTACTTATTTTACAAATTTGTTTTATTTTATACCAAGATGGGTACTCATAAGTCCCCCCCAACATTTGCCATTGTCGAGCACTTGACGACACATTGCCAATGATAGTTACGGCGGAAGTCGTTTTCCCTTCAATATACGCATACTTTGGCGAGTACTGCGCCCGAGGAATTTCCGTCCTTGAGTGGGTAGCTAGTGGGTGGCTAGTGGGTGGCCCAACTGGAGTACAACTTTTTGACAATTGATGCGAGCAAATACTTAGAGATAGACCCGCAGATAAACTTGCCTTCTATCACTTCGAGGCAGACAAATTGCAATCGAAGTCGGAGCTCTGCTGGTGGCAGACACAAGCGCAGACTTAAGCTCAGACCAGGACATGGAAACGGATACCCCGTATCGATATACGGATACGGATCCGGATCCGGACAAGCCGAGAAGACAACCATTCGCTTTCGCACTGCTCTCGCAGTCAATTTCCTTACATTTTTCCCTGGATTTTTTTTTTATTATTTTCCTGTCGTTTTTTTGCAAACTAAGGTAAATTCAATTGAATCGAGCTGGGAAGCGGTTGTGATCGGTGGCGGGGAAGGCTTGAAGGGGTGAGGGGATGAGGTCGGAGCATGCCACAATAGCGCTTAATTTTCAGCGCTGCAACAAGCGGCTGACAGGGGTTTTCTTGAGGGGGTGGTGGCCATAAATAATGTCGAGTGGGGGTGGTGGTGTGCAGGATGAGCTGCTTTCACGTGTGTTTGTGTGTGCCTGTCTACGTCTCGAGTTAACAAGACTTTTCGCTTTTACTCAAACTCGCAGGCTAACACAATTTTCAAAGCTTTTGTCTTGCCACGACTTGACTGGGGTATCGACTAAATCTCATATAGAAATGCACTACAACAAACCGGGAAAACAAGTAACAAACATTTAACAAATATGTTACCGTTCTTATTATCTTATTGGAATACCTAACAAAAAGTATTAATAAAAATGTTTAATTGAAATAAAAAACCTTTTTCGCCCAATAGAGAATATAAATCTCAACTCGTTAGCTCAAATATAAAACCAGAACCTTTTTTAAATTTGTTTTATTTATAACTTATATTTATAGGTTTTATTTTGAGAATGAAAAATAAATCTTATATTTTGAGTTTAGCCAAATTGGAAGAGGAAAAGACGAATTGACTATTAAACTAACTAAATATAACTTTAAAACCAATTTTCTTTTTTGTATTTTTTAACCTGAAATTCGATAGGGCTGTAATCTGATCAAATTGGTTTTTCCGCGTGTAAATATATAGATTCGGGGCTTACAGATTGGCTTACGGCGGAGTTGAATCAACGCGGAGGCAAGGCAAATGTGAAGCTATTTCCGTGACCCGTGGGATGTGGGTTGGGATTGGGCTGTAAGATGGGCTAAAGTGATATGTGCACCCGTACTCACCGGCCTTGCAGGGATCCATGTCAATGTCTCCGGATACCTTTGGTGTCACATGCAGGCGCATCAGCTGCTCGATGGTGTATTTGCTGCGGTAGGGTCGTCGCAGTCGGCGAATGGTTCCCAGATACGCATCGAATTGTTGACGATGGTGCAGGTGGGTCCTCTGATGGTGTCCGTCCTCGTCGCTGCCCTTTTCAGTGTCCGGTGATAGTCGTTGAAGGACACCATCATTCGCGGAATGTTCCCGCCTGAGAGTGTTCCCTTGCGCTACAGATGCCATTGGATCCGCGGGTGAAGGAGCAGGTGCCGGAGGTCCTCGGTGGGATCGTGGGTTCTTGGCCTGCACCGAAATGAGCACCAGTAGCAAACCAATGCCAAAAAGTAGGACGCAGTTCGACCAGCTGACGCCCAGGGGCGTGCCACGCCTCCTACGCATCGCAGCGGCGTCAAATTCGTTTTTGGCGCTCTTTATTTATTTTTTGCTAAGTGCCTTTTTGGTTTTTTTTTTGCTCTGCAAGTTTCGTGACCACTAGCCCACTTTGATTTGAATTGTGGCGATCAGTCTGCTCTTAATATATGTTCATTTTCATTTAGCACGTGCCTGCAATTGAAAAGCGCAAAAACAATGATTAGATTGTGTGTTCAGAGAGCAGCTTCATTCAGGTTTGCACCAGACTTGGTGGAATTATTTACACCGAAACCGACATTTCGTGTATCATTATATGTGGCTTCCCAAGCTTTTTTGAACCACAGATAACCCTTTGTTCAGCGAAATAGAACTCAATTGCACGCGTTTTGCACTTGCTTATCAGCTCTGTTGTTTTCTGACCATTAAATTATCAATGCAGAATTGCATTGAGAAAGGTAGCAGATTTTATTCAAAAACAAACTGATTTAAACATGTTTACCCTAAATATAATAAATATCAAACCCTTTGCAAAGTAACGTTCTTAATGTAAATACTATTTTTAAATAAGTTTCATATTTTTTTCTGCGTTCCCAAGCCCCTTGAACTAATGATAACCCTTTGGCCCCATCGAAATGACCCACAATTTCAGGCGATACAGCCCGTTTCGTGTTGTTGTTTCAGGGCCTTGAAATGTTTGTATTTTTTTAAAGCGGAAATAAATGGCGTACTTCGTTGGGCAAACATATAGTAAAGCTGACATGTAGGGGGGATAAAATTGCAAAATGCAGATGAAATGGCAGCAGTAACATTACCATGTCACGGCGAAATGGTAATTTACTTATGCATTTCCAATCGGTGTTATCTCTGGGAAGCTGGCCTTCGTTTGCAATTTGAATACGCTCTGGCTACGGGGAATGTCAATTCATTTGCTAATTCCGAACTGAGCCTCCGATGCAATCGATGCAAGGGGGCCTCATTGCTATGGGGATGTTGTACAAAATATCTCAGACAATCTCAATCTGTGCACACACCGGGTGTCTTATTTACATACGACGCATACCTACGTTTGTGCAGCTAACATCTGCGCCTTGGGCCATCATAAAAAGTTGGGTAAACTGAGAAAACAAAGAAGGTGTAAAATTCGACAGATGGGCGGTGAAGGAAGTCGATTTAGAAGAAATAGTCAGGCGGCAAATCCGCACACCAGAACAGGTAAATGTAAATGTTTCAGCCATCAACTTGGCACTCAATTAACTCCGATGCAGAGGCAGCCAGAATCCAGGACTCTATGCACAATAACAGGTAATTAAAAATCGCTTAGCCCCGGCCCAGGTTACCCAAGCAATTCAGAAAACCTTTTCAATTAACTTGAATGTTTGGCCCAAGCCATTGTCATCAGGCTGTTGCTTTTGGTGCCTTTGCTGCTACTGATTTTCCCGGCAATTGTGGCAATTTCATTAAATCATTTCATTTCCGGCCCCCGCAAGTACACACACCGACACACACAAAACAAATCAAGGACTCGGCTGGCTTTTTATGGCAAATTAAGTTGCCTTTTGTTGTGGTGGTGGTGGAAAAAGAGGCGACTAGCAAATAAAGCCAAACACCGCACAGACAATTCCACGGGCAGCAGTCTTGGACAGAAGTTTTCGCAGCCAAAAGGCAAAAGGAGTGCAACATATTTTCTTAATTTCATTTCGTTTAATTTCACTTGGCAAAGGAAGCAAAAGGAGCAGCAGCAGGAGCTCCAAGAAGCAGCAGCCATTTCCATAATCCTCGCTCGCATAATTACGTATACGCCGCATGGGACCAACAAGGCAAAGACGATGAGAATGATGATGACGGCACAGCGTTTCTCATTTAAGCGAAATTAAAAATTCAATTGATAAATTCCCAACTAAATAAGCGATGGAAAGAGAAGTGGAGCAAAGTTACTTGTGAGGTCCCGGGTTTTCTTCGTTTTTTTTTTGTTTTTGTTGCTCCGTTGCTCCTTTGTTGCCACGTCTCTGGCAGCAAATTGAAAATCGTTGAAAAGTATGTTAATTGGCTTAAGCCACTCCGCTTTGCTCATTATGGAATTTATGCAGACCTCATTCTGCAGTACTTCCTCCTCCGCACTTCTTATCGCACCCACATGGAAATGAGTATGGTAATTGAAAGTTGCATTGTTATCAGAGTTCTAGGTCAATTGCCGCTGCGATCGGCTAGCGTAAACAAAAGCCAACTCTGCTACGTAATAGCTGGCAAACAAATAAGATCCAAGAGTGCTTTTTGGATGCCAATCCCACTTCGATTCGCATTTAAAAGCTTTAAGATGTCACTTTCAAATGGCACGCGCCATTTACTTTTAGTTTAATTAGATGCGATAAGAGAGTGCCAGCCAGCAGATATCCTGTTCATTCTTCGTCCTTCGTCCGTCGTCCTCCGAGCAGCGTACTCCTCCATTCGAGACCATCAATCAGGCTTGTCAAGTGCTCGCAACTTTGCAACTACGAGAAACTGACAATGACAAGCGTCAAGTGGCTGGGGAATCCTTGTTTCCCAGCCAGTCTCTGATTTGGCACAGGGCTTTTAGTGTTTTACAAGAGCAAATCCTGACAGGACTCGCTGCCAAGCTCTTTGTTTGCCTAATTTTGATTTTTCCCCTTTGACAGTCAGTTGACATTTGCAATTGCAAACTAGCCGAGTCAAAGATATGACTTGAGAAAGGCCCCATCTAAATGAATTGAAATATATAGTATTCAGCTGCGTGACTGTGGCATCTGCCAAAAACGAGTTGTTTAGCGCATTTCCAAGCACTTTGCGACTTTGCGACTATGCGACTCCTCCCATTTTACGGACAATTTTCGCAGCACTCAAGGACATCGAAATGCAGGGTTAACAAGTGGGTGGCGGCGGCGCTGGAGGAGCCTCAATTTGGAAACAACTTAATTTCAATTACTGACGCAAAGGCGGGCACAGTCGAAATGGTATAATGAATGGGTGAGTCTGTGCCACTGCTATTGCTGCTGCTGCTGCTACTGCGGCCGACTTTTATGCGATTTAAAATGCTTCACCAGTGCAAAATGCAGTCAGGCGGCTGAACTAACAACAAGCAGGCGAGCAAACAGACAGACGGACAGACAGACAGACAGACAGACAGAGAGACAGAGGAGGCCACAGGACAGGACATCGACTAGAGGAAGGAGAAAGGAGAGCCCCGGGCAGAACCAGAAGCACAACCAGAACCAGAACGAATCCAGAGCCAACGGCAAATAATTAAACTTGGCTGCCCGGCACCTGTGGCCCTTGTACGCTTGTACGTCGGGTCAGGCCATGGCCAAAGGTCACACTTAGAAAAAAACCCTAGTCCTATATTCATAAATTAATATTGTACATGAATTAGGATAATTATTGTTTCAAATATGTGCTTAAATCAAGTCTTGATTCAAATGAGTATATGAGTATAGAACATTGTTTTGCTAATAAAACATTCTTGGTTATAGCTATACTATTTTATAAGTAATTAAAAAATAACTCAACGTTAAATGTAATGTTTTAATAATAATTTTAATTTGGCTTAAAATGTTCTTAAAGTGGAAAAATATATAAAAATTTGCGCGTTTCGAACTCTCCTTAAAGCTAAGCACAGAATTTTTATATTTTTCCTAGAGTGCATATATCCTGTATCCTGCAACTGTGGCTCAGCACAAGCGAAATGAGTGGGTGGGCGAGGGCCGACCCTAGCCGAGTCCTGATTATTTAGCAGCTCGCCATGTGAATGTAAATAAAGTTCAGCCATAAAATACCCCGCAGACAGATAGGCGGCCACCCACTTTCGGGGTCATAATCTGCAACAGAAGCAGGCCAGGACGAGGATGCAAATAGCCAGAGATGGGACAGCCCTGCTCGGCTCATAAAGAATCTGCGATTTATTTATAAACTCGGTAGGATGGTAGTAGGACCAGCACTGAAGTTAAGAAATAATTAATACTAACAACGACGAATGACGAGCGTCCTGTGGCCAGGGATTTTCAGGCCCGACACGGCCCATTGGAGCTATGGGATGCACGGGATGCGCACCTTTGCATCTCATCTACCATATCGCCCCTGTTGTTTCGGGTCATGAATAACAATTGCCGGGGAGCTGTGGCTGGAGCTGCAGAAATATGGCAGAAAAGATTTCCTTTTATGGTGATTGCGTGGGAAAATGCCTGCCAGGCCGGCGATAAAATATGAAAAGAATAAAACGTGAAACGTGAAACGTAAAACGTAAAGCAGCCCCAGTGCAAATATGGAAAGCGAGTGAAAACCTTTTAATTTGGCAAATAAAAAGGGCGGGCAGAACAAATTTCCATGGAAGCCCCGCGTCGAGGAAAAACTGGCTTCTTAACTTCTGGCATGTAAATGCGTGCAAGTGAAAGGGATCCAAGGGGGCAAAAGTTTGAGTTTTGGATAACTATAGCAAAAAGTAAAGCAAGACCACGGCCAAGGCAATCGAAGACATTGAATGATGAATAGAGGACTCTGGATTGAGGGCAATTTACAAGCAATCCTTAGGCAATTTCCTTCTCCTAAGCCGAGCAGGCCAATTAAGTTACATTTTGCAGACAAGGCAGTGTCGGGATAATAATTACCCCAAGAAATATGACAAAAAGTGGAATTGCACATAAATTAGTCTGGGTAAGTGAAATATAAAATCTGCTTAGGCCTTAATTAATTACATAAGGGGAAGGGGAAGGGGAAGGGGAAGAGAGGTATGTAAGGAATGACAGGACTCAGCCAAGTGGAAGTGGAGCCACTCACCCACGTTCTCGCAGACAAACAAGCACTTGCGACATATCATTAACTTTGCTTTATAGCAACCGAAATTGGAAGGGATCCTTGAGGGCGGGGAGAAAAAACCCAAGGCACTGCCTGTGCCACTGGCGTGGCTAAAGATGAAGTAAAAATACAGAAGAAATAACTCGTGGAGTTTGCGATGCTGCTGCTGGGGTGACACTTTCTATACTATATGGGGGTGCTTCTCTCGAAAAACCCGGAGGATGTGGATGTGGATGCGCCGGCTGCTTGTTAGCAGAATGGCATCAGCTGTTGTGCCTACATACGGAAAAATACTCGTATTTTCTGCGTACGAAAAAATATTTGTATTTCCTACATACACAAAGTTATTTGTATTTCCTACATATGGACAAAAACATTTGCATTTCCACAGGCCATGCACTGGGAAAATTTTATGCGTGATGTATTTAAAAAAAACTGTTTTTTTAGACTTTCAAAATTGAAGAACATAAATAATCTGGGTCTAAACTGGAAACTGTTGTTATGCTATGTGGTAAATATATTACTTCTAAAATAATTAATTGGAATTATAACTTTGGAAATTAAACGAAATTTATAAATATAATCATTTTTGTACTCTTTGAATTTCTGCAACTCTTATAACAAAAATAATTATGTTTTCATAGCTAAGAAGAAGTACCTTTAACTCGACTGTAATAACAAATAACAAATATATATTTTGCTGTGTACACAGGACCCTAACCGAAGAGGCCCCGAATTCATGACTGCCAAAGCAGATACAGGACACTTTATAATATCCATAAAATAACTCAAATCTCTTTGGCAGATTAGCCTCCTTGCCTTGTCGTCGTCAGGTAAATTTTGGGTTTAATACATAATACCTGTGGTCTATCCGACGTCAAGTGCAGCTATCTTCGCTCGTCCACCTTCTCTGTTGGATGCCCACTGCCCACTCCTCGAGCTTAATTCGCTTTTAATTTTTACCCTGCTGCGACAGCAAAAAATGCGAAAAAATTCCACCATTGCCATGGCAAAAAGGGAAGGAGAAACGGAATGGGACCGAAAAATACAGCAGAAATTTGTTAAGCACGCGCTATCAGTCTGAAGTGCGTGTTCGAAGGATGAGGAAAATGGGCGGCTGAAAGGGAAGTGGAGGAGGAAGAGGAGGAGGAGGAGGAGGAGTCCTGCGAAAGGGAATCCAAATGAATTCTATTCAAAGCGTTGGCTGCCACAAAATATGAAATGAAATGCTGTCGCTGGGGAGCTGAGTCCGGGACGAGAAATGTTGTTAAGAAATGCATACGCGGGCAATTTTTATTCCTTGCTGTCCCGTGTCCTGCGTTCTGCGACCTGCGTCCTTTTGCGAAGCAGATACTGCTGCTTAAACACGAAATGCTTAATGGCCAAGTTGCCACAAAACGTTTGCCAGACAAGGGGAAACTCAGTGGAGCAAAAGTGAAATGCGTTTTCTGGCTCCCAAGTAGCAAGGACCAAGGACCAAGGACCTCTCTGTCTGTCTGTGTGTCCGACAGCCTGTGTGTGTGTGTGGGTGGGTGTTGTGCTTATTGGAGCGTAAGCAACCTGGGCAACAATATCAATATGCGTCTTTTGTGCCAAAGCTGCCTCCGCTGACAATTGTTCGCCACCGGAAGTTTATATTCTAGCAGACGGAAGTGTTAGGGGTAAACACACGGCATCACAGCACGAATTTCATATTTTCCATTTCATTTTGCTGCCTTTCTCCACACGCATAAATTTCCATCACCATTCATCCCACGAAAAACAGACAAACAAAATGCGCAGCATATGAAAAAGTTGCAAAGACCAGACGCAAGACGCAAGGCGAAACCAAAGCCAATTAAGGCTAATTCTCTGGAACCTTTTGGCTTGCCTTTAATAGCCGTCGAGAAAAGAGGATCGTTGGCCAAAATAATAAAAAAGTGGAGTAGGAGGAATGCAGAAAAAACAGAAAATAAATAAAAGGCCAGACAAGATGAGTTGGGTCGTCCGCAAGATCGTCCACGAGTTCGATGCCACTGGGCAGGAATTCCCTTCTATTTCGCGGCTTTTTGTGGGCACCTTGACTCGCGATTGTTCCGTATTGTGTATTGTATATTGCAAATAAAGCACATGTACTCGTACGACACAAAGCGAAATCAGTAAAGATTCTATTTTAATTATGCCGGCGGCCTTTAGATTGCCAATTGACGAGAGATCTGCGCTGCGATTTTACGCTATTTGTTTGTTTTTCTGCTTTTTGTTTTTGTTTTTTGCGGGACGAAAAGCGGGAAAGTGGAAACCGCACGGCGGAGATAATAGCGTGAGCTAAAGACGCAGAACACCCACAAATCATCGAAAGTCCGGGGGATAGGAAAAGTCGGTGGTGCACACACCGCGTGCCGTTTTTTATTTATAGTCATTGAACGCTGCGCTTCTATCAGCAACAGCAATGGAAACGGCAGCAGCATCCACAGCGGCAGCAGCAACATCAGCGACAGCAGCAGCAACATGAACAGCAGCAACCTCAACAAAAACAGCGTGTTAACGTTACTTATTGTCGTTGTCGGGCGAGGGAAACCAAAGACATGAACAATAATAACGCAAAACCAAAGATCAGAGCTGAGACTGATAACGCTTTTTCAATGCACACAGCGATCATAATCGAAATTCAATCGAGTGCGAAGATCAGGAGCACGAAAATGGTGATTACCCTTGTTTCACTTGTTGAACAGACCGATTATTTGTGACTTCACTACCCTTTCAGGTAGAATTCTGGGCTTGGGTTTGGTTTTTGGGTTTACTATGCACTCACTTCACAGGCCGTTAAATTTATCCTTCTGCCCTTTGCGGATATTAACGTTTGGCCATTTGATTCAAACAAGTTTGTTGCCAATATTCTTTTGTTTCGCGACGCCTAGATTCCGTTTTCACTGCGAAAGCACGTCCGTTCACGACCGAAGTTGCTCGCGATTTGAGAACATAAACAGAGCAGCCAGAACAGCCAGAACAGATGAGCCCACCGAAAACTGTTCCCATCGAGAGCATGCGCCGAGAACAACTGAAAGCAGCGGAGAAATGCCCAACAGGCGGCAGCGTTTGAACCGCCGACCAAAGCAAAAACAAGCAAGAAAACATCGCGAAGGCCAGTGTCCTTAGCGGGATCAAAGATCTTCGAAACAAACTCTTACATTTTGTTTTAAAACCTTTTTAAAACACAATGTTCTTATAATAGGCATATATCTTGTATTTTCTGTTATACACAATTTGTAACTAAAAAATGTTAGATCAAAATTTTTTCAAAAATCAATAAAAATTTAATTTAAGTTAAATTTTTAATATCTAATAATACTATATGTAAAGCTTTATAAATTAATTTTGCCCTTAAAAAAACAAATAACTTGGTCCATTGGTAAACATATTTTACACAGCAACAGAACACCGGTAACTAAAAAGTTTTAGTTAACTACTTAAAAAAAGTCTGCAATGGAAAATAGAAAATCACTCAAATTTATTAATTGAACAAGAGTCACTTATTTGCAAATAAAATGGTAAGAAAGAACTATCTTTTACATTTTAATTGAAAAAATGAGGAATCATTAATTTAAATATAGATCCCTTAAAAACAAATAGCTTGATTCATTGGTTATTTAAAAATTGTTAGTTAACAACTTTAAAAACAAGTAGTACTTGTTTTTCAATTAAAAATGCTTATTAAGAAGTTACAGGGAATTTAAAATTGAAAACCGTTACAAGAGACGTTAATCAACACTGACCGAAATAAATCGATAATCGATATCCAATGGTTGTCCATCTCTAGGCGGACTATTTTTGGCAAAGAAAATTTTCTTTATTTTATTTTCCTATTCTTCTCGGGAAGAATGACTCAAAAGTGTGAGACGACAAACTGCGGCAAGGATGCGACTTTGCAGTGTCCCACCTGCCTGAAGCTGGGCATCAAGGGCTCCTTCTTCTGCTCGCAGCCGTGTTTCAAGGGATTCTGGAAGGAGCACAAAGCAATCCATGCTCTGGCAGGTCAGTTTCACAGAAAGTCTCAACCATTCGTAACACCTTCGACGGAACTAACATGTGGAAGTATTTTGAAACAGCTGGAGCAACGCAGTCCGCTGCTGGAGAGGATGGCGCCTACAATCCGTGGCCGCAGTTCCGCTTCACCGGCAAGTTGCGCCCATTCCCAAAGACTTCCAAGCGGTCCGTTCCGGAGGCCATCCTGCGTCCAGACTACGCCGATCATCCCTCAGGGCGTTCCCTGTCGGAGGAGGCGCTGCGTGGCACCAAGATCAAGGTGCTGGACGACGAGGAGATCGAGGGAATGCGGGTGGCCGGCAGGCTGGGACGCGAGTGCCTGGATGAGGGCGCCAAGGGCGTGGAAGTGGGCACCACCACCGACGAACTAGATCGTCTAGTCCACGAGGCCGCCATCGAGCGCGAGTGCTATCCCTCGCCCCTCAACTACTACAAATTCCCCAAATCCTGCTGCACTTCGGTCAACGAGGTGATCTGCCACGGAATCCCCGATCTGCGTCCTCTGGAGGACGGAGATCTCTGCAATATCGACGTGACCGTCTATCATCGCGGCTTCCATGGCGATCTGAACGAAACCTTCTTCGTGGGCAATGTCTCGGAGAAGCACAAGAAGCTGGTGCAGGTCACCCACGAGGCGCTCAGCAAGGCCATTGAGTTTGTGCGTCCGGGGGAGAAGTACCGCGACATAGGCAACGTGATCCAGAAGTACGTGGCCCCCCATGGATTCAGTGTGGTGCGCAGTTACTGCGGTCATGGTATACACCGCGTTTTTCACACAGCACCCAATGTGCCTCACTATGCTAGTAAGTTTGGGGCTTACCAAAGTTAATTGGAATGTTATTAAAACCCGGTTCTTATAGAAAACTCTGCCGTTGGTGTGATGGCGCCGGGACACTGCTTCACCATCGAGCCCATGATCTCCATGGGCGTCCAGAAGGCCGAAACCTGGCCGGATGACTGGACCGCAGTAACCGCCGATGGCTTGTTCTCCGCCCAGTTCGAGCAAACGCTGCTGGTCAACGAAACCGGATGCGAGATCCTCACGAAACGTCGCGAGAACAACGGACAACCCTGGTTCATGGACAAGATGTGAGGCGGCAACCCACTTGGGCCAATACATAACTTCTAGGGCTATACACATCAAGCTTTAATTTGTAATTTTACAATAAAATCTAGAGTTTCTATTCCCAAGTCCGGTTTGGATATCCCATCACGTTGTGTTCACTTTTCGAGGGGAGCGTAGTTGAGCAGTTTCTCAATGAGATCCACGTGACCCAGGAGCATGCGACGGCAGCAGTACCTCTTCAGACCCAAAGCATCGAGGGCATCTCTGGGATTAGAACAAAAAGTATTATGAAATGCGACTTGGACAGGGACTTTTCCCGCGCGAGTGCCTTACCCTTCAGTATATTCCGCCTGCAGGAGGCCCAAGTACGACTCCCACTTGTTGCCAATGACCTTGCCGCAGGTAAAACAACGGATTGGAATAATCATCTTGCCTAGCAGCCTACAGTTTTCAAATAATTCAGGCAATTTGTGCAGATCACAACAACTTTCGGCTAAAATGTGTTTTGGTCAGTGTGACCAGATTACAGTGCTCTAATTATCTCAAGTCCGCACAAGTTATCGATTGACGCGATACCTAACTGCAATTAATCGAATCTTTTAAAAACAACTCATTTGAAAAATTCTGCAGTTTTAAAACGTCATAAGTTTAGCATAGCGACATAATTCCGCCGCCACATGTGTAATGTAAAGCTTGCTTAAAATATGGTAAAATAACCATAACATATTCGTTATCATGAAATAATGTTGGTTCTGCACACAAGCATACATAACTCAACATATCAAGTTATTTATTTCTTTGGCGCGCGAAACTCATAAATGCTTAAATTCATCAAGCTTTCATGAGTACGCCGGTTGAAACGAGGTGCTTTTTATACCCTTGCAGAGGGTATTCGAAAAAAAAGTTATGGATTTAGAACTGAAGGTTTTTGGTTACTTTTCTGCAAAGCTATTTTTCGGAAATTAATTAAGGAGTTATAAAGATTTAGAAAGGGGTTACATCATAAAAATTTCAAAAAATCGGCCCCAAAATGACATACCAAGTTATAAATGCAGATTTTTAGAGAACAAAGCGAGAAGACTTTTAAGATATGCCACTGCGAAATCGCATGCTTGAAAGAAAAGTTATGGATTTAGAACTGATGGTTATGGGTTACCTTACTGCAATGCTATTTTTCGGAAATAAATTAAGGAGTTATATCGTAAAAATTTAAACTGAAAAATTCAAAACAATATTAAAATGCAGATTGTTAGAGGATTAAGCCACGAGACGTTTAAGATATACCACTTTGAAATCGGAAGCCTGAAAGAAGAATAATGGATTTAGAACTGTAAGCTTTTGCTTAATTTTTATGCAAGGACGATTTTTCGGAGATTTAGAAAGGGGTAAAAAAAATGTAAAAAAATCGGCCCGAAATTACAAAGCAAGTTTTAAATGCAGATTTTTAGACAACAAAGCGAGAAGACTTTTAAGATATGCCACTGCGAAATTGCATGCTTATGAGAAAAGTTATAGATTTAGAACTGTAGGTTTTGGGTTACTTTTCTGCATTGCTATTCTTCGGAAATTAATTAAGGAGTTATATTGTTAAAATAAAAACTGAAAAATTCAAAACAATATTTAAATGCAGATTGTTAGAGGCTTAAGGCACGAGCCGTTTAAGCTATACCACTTTGAAATCGGAAGCCTGAAAGAAGAATAATGGATTTAGAACTGTAAGCTTTTGCTTAATTTTTATGCAAGGACGATTTTTCGGAGATTTGGAAAGGGGTTACATCATCGGCCTTAATTATACCACTTTCCAATCGGAAGCCTGAAAGAAAAGTAATGGATTTAGAACTGTAGGTTTTCTGGTGTCTAAAACTTAATAAATTATAATATAAACAAGTAACGTAAATTTGAATAAATTAATGATTATATTTATTAAACTACCGACTGCTCGCTACATGAATGCGTTTTTACAAATGAGTGTGTAAATAAATATTTTTGAACAGCGTCAAAGACTTAAGTGTGCCTTAACTAATTACTGCTGGCCGTAAGATGCTCGCCGGCCACTTCGACGGAGGTGGAAACCTCGAACAAATCTTTGGCTGAATCCTCGCTGTCGCTCTCGATCAGATCCCCGCTAGACACGTCCTCCACGGTGCCCTTCTTCACGTCATCCGATCGCTTTTGCAGCCGCTGTGGTGCGAAAAATACAAAATAAGTTTTTAATGGCGATTTGGGTTATACTTAATTGAAGTATAAGTTCTTAAATAAAAAAAAAGAATTAGAATATTTTATAACTCTCTAAAACCTTTACAATAAATAATGTTTTTTTGTATTGTATTTAATTAGTTTGCTGTTTGAATTTAATATACGATACCTTTTATATGTTAACGTTATGCCTTTTAAGATTAAATACAAAGTGTACTTCGGCGGTAGTTGCATTTTCATTAAATACTTGACGTACACATACTTAATATCTACTTGGTAAACAATTTGTAATGGACTTACAGATTCGGAAGCCTCCTCGTCGGGCACAAAGATGCGAAGCGGCGTGTTAGAGCCCAATTGCTGCTGCACCAATCGCTGGTGCTCCTCAAAGGCACTTGCTGCGGGATCCTGAGCAATCTGCTGCTGCTGTTGCAATTGCTGCTGCTGTTGATGTTGCACTGGCTGCAACTGCTGCTGCTGCTGCTGCGGGTGGTGCTGCACCGGTTGTTGCAGCTGCTGGTGCTGCTGCTGCAGTTGCAGAAGTTGCAACTGTTGCTGCTGGTGTTGCTGCTGCAAGTGTTGCTCCTGTGCCTGGGCCTGCAACTCCTCGAATTGCTGCTGCTGCTGCTGCTGGTATTGCGCCTGAACCCTCAGCTCCTCCAGATGCAGTTGATGTTGCTGCTGTTGCTCCTGCGCCTGAGCCTTGAGTTCATCCAGATGCAATTGCTGCTGCTTCTGCAGCTCAATGGCAGCATGTTCTGTTTCTAGTTGCTGGCGGCGTGATTCCTCCTCTGCGTAGGCCTGCAGCAACTGCGAGGAGTCGTGCGTGTGGCCATAGAAGTTGGAGACCACGAATCCACCCTCTGGAATGGACGCAGTGACGGCAGAAGCCGCATTGGGCAGGTGGAAGGAGGCCGTCTGGTAGCCACCCTCGCCATGACTGCCCAGCGCGGGAGCAGCAATCAGGGCAGCATATTGCGGTGCCGAATCCAGTACGGGATGGATGTTGTGATGCGGATCCTTGGCCGCCTGCAGGATCTGCCCGTTGCTGGCCACCTCCTGGGTGAGATCGGCATTGACGTAGCCCGACTCCACCACCGGTTCCGAGCTGGGCTTGAAGAGTTGCTGCTGGTGGGCGGAGTACAGCTGGTTGGATTGCGTCACCAGGTAGGTGGGATTGTAGATGGGGATGTGGGCAGCCGGAATGGCTGCGAGGAAGCTCTGACTTTGAACCGCCGCCGCTGCCGGCTGGGCATACTGAATAGGATAGATCTCGGGCGCCGTCTGGGCCGCCGCCTGGGCCCCAACAATTTGGACCAGCGGTTGGGCGGGCAAGTGGTTGCTCTGGACATCGGCGGGCAGCGGCTTGTTATTACTGGGCGTGTTAAACGACTCCGTGGCCGGACGGATCTTGGTGGTGGGCAGCGAGGGATCCGGATCTGGGGCAAAGAGTTTCTGCGAACCCGAAATGGGATCGCGGATGGTTTGGTCATTGGTCTCGTCCTCTTGCACACTGTACTTCGGTGGCAAGTATGTCTGGGGACGGATGGGGGCCGATGCTGAGGGCGGGATCTGGGAGGGGGGCGTGTACAGGTAGGAGGACGAGTCCTGGAGGTGACCCTCCTCCACATCCAGGTGGTTGTCGGCCAGGTTCGGTGCGGGAACCGTGTAAATGGGTGCAAAGTGCTCGGTGTTGAAGTTGTTGTGCGTGTCCAGCTGTGAGGGATTAGGAATGTTTGGGGTTATGTTTTGTTTTGTTTTGTACTGTACTGTGTAATGAAGTGGGTGTGAAGTGCACATTTTTATCTATGATCAAGGATCGCTTGGTTTTGAATTGATTTCACTTAGTTTAAATAGGACTAAGTACGTTTTTTTAACTTTTTTCGAATGATTAATGCCAATCTCATTCTGAACATTTATGGAGTAAATTCCCTACTGGAATTTGAGCATCATTAAAATATAATGAAAAATAATAAGTTTTGCATGATGCAACCTTTTAAGAAAATCGGTAATATATAAGCTTCTTTGTGTACTTTAAATGTCTTTAAGGTGATTAAGTAAATCTTAATCCTGATTTAAAAGTCTTAAGTCAAATGAAATCAATGCCCCCCAAAGGATCTTTTCTAAGCCTAACTTACCGGCAGATTCTGGAGTTCACTGTAGCTCACGGCTGGCTTCTCGTACTTGAAGGGCTTGTCGTAGCCAAAAGTGGGTTTCGCCTTGGGCTTCACGTTGCTCAGCTTGATCTTCAGGGGTTTTCGCAGCGAGGCTCCGGCGGGTTTCAGGTAGACTGGAGAAGGACCACTCAGCTTGATCGGCGTATGACGTGCAGGTCCGCGGAGGTGTTGATGCTGGTACTGAAGCTGGTGCTGTGGCACATGGACCAGGGGATGCGAGTGGAGGTGGGCGTGCGAGTGGGCGTGTGACAGGACATGTGGATGCACAGAGTGCGGATGGGCCAAGTGGGCGGCATGACTGTGGGCGTGGGCGTGAGCGTGGGCGTGGCCTTGGCCTGGACGACCCTTGAGAACCAGCGGCACTGGCTGATCGCTGCGTATTTGGACGACCAGGGTGCGCGGCTTTCCCGGTGGACCGGCACCTACTCCTGCGCCGGCGGATGAACGACTCTTGGGCGGCCAGTTGGTGAAAACCAGGGGACGCTGCTCACAGTTGGCCAGCGCCAAAATCAGGGCCAGCAGCAGAAAAGGCTGTTTAATGTCAAAGACAATTAAATCAAAAACTTAATTAAGCGTCGTACATCGAACAAAAAGAGCCGAAAGAAATGTAAACTTTCTAAGCGGGGAGGGTCGTGTGTAATCGCTGGACAGCAACAAAACTGTAATGGCCTTAATTTCGAACAAATTGGCGGTTTTCTAAAATTTTATCACGTCGCCTGCCGCTGACTACTTAACCAAAGCTGCTTAAGCAAACGAGCCAGCAAAGTGTTTATATACATTTACACGGGTATGCCATGTGCCATATGCCATAATACCACTGCCCATACCATTTTCCCCGCTTCGATGGCTGATTAAACTTTCAGTCCGCAATGCCGTAGAATGAAAGTGAAAAGTCAAATACCGAATATCGAAATGTCTTCGTTCTGTAATTGTTGCTATTACTGTCAAGTTGTTTACGTTTTTGGCGGGTATTATGGTTCGCTGACTCTCTTTGTAACACTTTCATTATGGCGCGCTTTTATTGAAATAGAAAATATATAGGGTTTATACAGTAACTGGGAAATCAAAGATATAAATTTAAATGCATAGGCAGTAATTAAAATTTATTAAGTATAACTGAATAATTGAATTAAAAATGCATTTAGGGCAATCATTTTTTTTGTTTAAAAGTTTAAAGTGAAAGTAATTTATAGAATAATGTTGGCATACAATTGTATTGTTCGTTTAGTTAATGCCCAACTAGCCCTCAATATTTTTAAGCCTAGATTTGAACCCATCAAAATCAAAATAAAAGTATTATATTATTATATATATTATAACAAATTTAACTTTTTGTGGACAGTTGCTAACGGAAATAAATCGAACTTTACTGAATCGCATATTTCATAAGGTGTATTTCAATTTTTTTGAGGTTTTAATGTGATTTGAGTATTTTTTAGCATAGATTTTAAATCACAAAAATCAATTCCTTAAGATAAATGTTTTTTTATTTTTAAATTAAGTGCGCTAGAGAAGAAGTAGTATACTTTTCTTTCTTGGTAAGTTAAAAATTTATCTTCTGGTCTTTCCCCGAACACTAGTAAAGAAATATATTTTCTGAGTGAATTGTCGAAACACGTATAAGATTAATGAATATTCGTTGATCTAAAGTAATCCCATAAAAGAGGAGTGCGCAGCTCTCTGCATGCCTGCTCGGGGTCTTGGTCGATCGAAGGGGAAGTCGGTAATTTGAGGCGGCCACTGGACATGGCAATTTCACCTGGGCAGCCCCACCGAACCAACGAACCAACGAACCATCAGACCACTGAAACGGCGGCAATGACAATGGCAATGCGGTGCGGTACGGTGTGCCGTTAGAGCCAGACGTCAATCATCGGGTGAAATGCCTAAGCGGCTCCAATACGTATAGTTATTGATTACGTGCTGCGTTTGCTAAAACGCAACGCAACTGCAGTGGACCGCCGTAATTGCTGCCAAATTGGTGGCTTACTGTTTATGGAGTGGTTAGTTAGTTTGTCGCCTTGCAATATGCATAATCGAATGCAAATACCAGTGCCGCATGAGTGGTGAATGAACTTAGCAGGAGACGGATGCAATGAAATCCCCAATGGAACCTGCATTACTTTGGGCTGGGCCAAAAGAGACCAATGAACTTGACAAAGGATTTGCCTAACGGCATAAGCGGAACTATTGATCAGCGGCCTGTCACCGCCATGCCATGGCCATAAACAACGGTGTGGTTAACCCAAATTGCAACTCGAAATGCAACTTTTATTTTAGCGGCAGGCATTTTATTTTCAAGCCCGCTGCACATTGAGGCAAATGCAGGCGAGCAGCCAGTGCAATTGGTGCACGTAAAGCCATCCATTGTCTGGATCTTGGCGAAACTTGGCGCATCAAGTGCTCCCATTGCGAATGAAAGTGCTCGCTTTGCTGCCGGCCACCTAACAATTTGTCAAATATTCCAACGACGACTTCCAATTCAATTGAATTGAAGATGCATTGTGTAGCGATTGTAATTGGATTTGCAGGTGAAGGTGAAGGTGAAGGTGAGTTCAAATTCAAATCCAAATCTGACTTCGACTCTGGAGTCGTTGATCGCAAAGCAAAAGAAATGCCAATACCATAGCCAATGCCCATGCCTATGCATTTGCATTGAAATTAAGCCTATCCATTATTTTTTATGCTGTGCGCAGTGAGAGGCTTTTTAATAACCGCTAATTGTGGCCAACAAACTCAACGCAATCGCGGCGTGAATCACTTACCCTCATCTTGCTGGGATTTGTAAAGATCTGCAGATTTTCGTAGCGTTAATTGTAACTGTTGGCCTGCAGAAAGAAAGCTCTCTGGGCAAATGTCGAGTGACTTTTGGCTTCTGCAGCTACTCGAGCAGCAAATAGATGAAGATCAAAATGGCAATTAGATATATAATCACATCAATTAACTTCATGTCAGCGAGCGCCGGCGCGCTTTCTTCGTTTTTAAGCTGCACGCACAGAAAAGTCGAAAGAAGAGAAATTAAAATTGGGAGCAGCGACGTCCGCACCTGTTCAAGTCGCGTAGACAACTGAGTGTAAGTTGGTCGACGCCAATGGACAAAAACCATGTGCCGATCCGCTGGAGCTCCACTGGAATGCTACGACGACTCGCATTGGAAGTCGCACCGCAAAGAAAGTGGTCGGATTTTCTTGGCTCTGGCGCCGAAAAACAAGTTTGCAACGGACAAAGCGCAGCACGCGACCAGCAGCAACATGAATGCCAGCAAGTGGCCGATTAATCGCAACGAAAGTGTTTTGCCATTGACTGTTCTTGGCCGGCGAAAGAAAAGCCAGAGAAAGAGAAACAAAAAGAAAGAAAAAGACGGCGCAAAACAAAAGACTTAGGCAGCGAACTTGTCTCGCGTCAGCAGCAGTCGCTCTTTACCTTAAAAAGCAATGCGGACCAGGCGCCCATGAACGAGAGTTGGCCAAAACGCCGCTGTGGAGCCATGCCACTGCCTGCCACCTGTTGGCATTGCTTGTTGCAGTGGCAGCAAACAGGAGCAACGCCACAGATTGACATTACGAAATGCGGCAGGCACAGTGGACGATGACAATGGATTACTGTCGCAAAAGAAGAGAACATTTGCGAAATGCTTAAAGGGCTTAAATTGGGGGAGTTATTAAGCTTTCATTACGAATTTTAACTCCTGTGCTTAAAGTGACTTACCTAATACTTATTTTCAAGTATAAAGTCCATATTTCCCTCATTTTCCAAAGTCAAGCAGAGTGGGCCCAATCTGATATGCTCGCCACCTTTTCGGTAAATCGAAGGCCCTTCGATGATAATAGGCCATGCTTATGAAATACTCCCCAGCTTATTATAATTTGCGGCACTTTATGCAGGGCGCGATGTCCAATTTCTAAACGCAATTGGTCATTGGAATTTTATGGCGTTCGGGCCTGCCTTTTTTTGGGTCAGTATTGGGCAGCCCAAACTTGAGGGTCTTAAATCAAAATTTCACTTTCATAAAGCTGTCAATTTGTTTTCTGGTGGTAATTTCATTGCTATTTTTTTCAGTATTTATATTTTATTTTGAAATATTATTTTTAACAAGGTTTTTTAAACATTAACAACATAATATTATTATTATACCTTTTATTTCATACATTTATCATTTCTTTTTTTTCGGTTGCGTTTTAGACAAATGTTTAAAATATGCATTTTTAGCTTTTTAATTTGTTATTTAAAATTTTAATTATTTGTTGTTGTTTTTGACTTTTCGAGGCCGATTTAAACTAAACTAATTTGTCATTTTATGCTTTCTGCTCTGATTTCGGTTTAATTTAATTTTATGTTTATATAAATTAATGATTTTTTATCGCTTTTTAAGTTTTTTGTTATGTCTACATTTACGTTTTCCGTTGTGTAAATATACCTCATATAAATAGCGAGTAAAAACTAAAAAAATGTAACTACAATAATATGATTTGCAATTTGGGCTGCAATATTTATACAATTTATTAGCACACATTGTCGGATGTGTATATGTGCGTGTGCGGGTATCATGTGAAAGTGCTGCGAAATTATAAAAAATATTTTTCGTATTAGTTGCTATTTTGTATGTTAATAATGATATTTTTAAATATCTTTATTCCTTAAAAAAATGAACATTTCCGCCTGTTGCTTAAACCTGTAAAATTATCATATTAGTTTTAGATTTCGTTTTGGTTTTTAGCTGCAAACGTTGATTCTATACAAAAAATCTAACTACAGTAAAATGCTGCATAGCTTCACATTTACGAGTATGATAATATATTTTATATTTTTTTGTGGCTTTTTATTGACGAATTTTCTACAAAAACCTTTGCACTTACACTAGTTTATACGGTATTAAGTAGTTTTATGCGACATTATTAATATATATGTATGTATATATATATTATTTTTTGTAAACAAAGCTGCTCTGAAGTTTTAAATTGAGCGAAGTGGAACAACATCTTTGAAGTTATTTTCATTTCGAAATGCAAATGGAAAAGGCAGCTTTGTGTATTTTTCTTTTCTATACTTTTGGATTAATGTTTTGTCTGTTTCAAGAAGCTTTCGTTCGGATAGTTTCTGTTTTTTAAGTGGTTGAACATGTACTTTACTTGCGTTTGTTTTTATTTCAGTTATGTAGATCTGCTATAGCGTAAACATGATTTTATCAAGTTTCACAACATCGAGAGTTCATTTTGTTCTTGTTGTTGGGGTCATCGCTGTTGAGTGTGAGTGTGTGTGAGTATTAGTGTGGTGTGTAAGTATGTAGGTGTATAAGTGACTTCTATAAATTTAATAACTATTTTATTCATTTAAAAATTATGTTTAACTTTTGGGTTTTGCTACGGCATCATACGTCTAATCATCTTCTCATTTTATTTTAGGATTGCAAATGCGTTTTGTTGTCGATTTAATTATAAGTTTATCATTAACAATATATGAACTGTTTGTCGCAATATCTAGTCGTCTTATGTTTATGCTAAGCTATGCTATGCTCGATTCGTTAACATTTACACTTGACTATTTACGTTTACCTTTACCTTTACCATTAATTTACTTTTATTTACTTTAATGGAGTTTAAATGTTTCTCACATTGCACGGCTACATACACGTTTACATAAATTTCGAAGGCGCATAATATTCACATATTTTGTTTTTAATTTACGTTCTGGGTAAGCCTAGGCTACACAAAATTCCACTACAAATCAAATGTAAAACAAATGGTAATTGGCTCTTCTTTATTTTCGCTTTCACTTATAAATTGTTATGTTATAGTTTTGGTTTTCGTATTAAATTTAAAAGCTCGAATTCGTTTTACTTAAATTTGTTATTCGCTAATCATTTGTGGAAACAAACAAACCCATTGGATGCTGTTCTGTGCCATTTTCTTGTTACGTTTTTTCGATTTTCCGCTATTGAATGAATGCTGTCTGCTTTTTTGGTTGTTTGATCTACATTAAATGTGATTTCTATACGCTTTGGCAGTGTTTATCATTTGAACAAATTACAATTATGACCCGGAAACTCTTTGAACAGCAAAACAAAACAGCACAGGATAAACGAGTTAAACGATAACGTTTTCGAGATACTTTAGAATCAGTATTTTAAGCTTATCATATTTACAGGCTATGTACAAAAATCAGAGCGTTTCCCTTTGGCGGTTCGAGCGCAAGTTGGCAGAAAAGGTATAGAAGTTATAGAAGATATAGAAAGAAGTCGGAAGTCGGAAGGAAACATAACGTTTTCGATTTCGCCATTTGGTTACCGATTGTATCTATCAAAATTTGTTTAGAACACCACAGTTGCTGCTCGTAAATCGCTGGTAAAAAGCGCACACATTCACATACACTAAAAAATATTACTAACTACGCTTCATCAGCTTTCGTCGCACTCTATATTCCGGCATAGGTGTCCTCTATATTATTGGTATTGAATAATGATTCCAATGCGCTACTTACAATATTTTGTCTTGTCTTGTGTGGAGATGTGAATGTGAGAAGGTTTTCAATTTAGAATTAGCAAATTGGACTTGTGTCTAGTGAAAAAGCTGAGATTCAACTAGTTAAGTGTAATTGTTTGCTAATGGTTTAGTATTTGGCTCGAAACACCCATTTTGGGGCTATCTTTGGCCGAAACAACCATTTTTTCTTTGCTCTGGCTTTCATTAAAGATCAGGTCGATTTTAGGTGTACGAATTAGCTAGCAGATTGTTGGCTTTTTGGTGTCGTTAATCGATATTTGTGTTTAGTTTACTTTAAAAGTTTAATTATTACATTATGCTCTGCTCTATATAAATCGTTTTGCGCATGCTCAGAAACTTCTAAATGCAGTTTTTGAATTTTAGCCTCATTGCCTTGTAATCTGTATCTGTATCTCGCTATCAGTATCTGTATCTGTATCTGAGTCTCAGCCAAAAGCAATAGCGCAAGTTTGTTTTCAGTGTTTTTTTATAAATTGTTGCGTTGTGGCCGCATTCAGCAGCTTACTATATAGAAAGGCTTTGAGACATGAGAGTACATAGATCGAGTAGACTTAGTTGTAGTTTTTGGTAGTTCTTTCACTCAGTGTGGCTGAGTGTTGTTTGGTTTCCTTGTTTAATGTGTAGCTTACCTCACTAATGGTTCCCAATTGCTTACGTCACACCATTGAGATGGATTTTCGTTTAGAATTCAATTTTCAATTGTTTCTTATGCAATGATAGCGCCATGAAGTGAACTCAAAATGTAAATGAAAATTAGTAACAAACGATTATTCAAGTGTAAATGCAAATGCAAACGATTGTTTATACGTAAATACATACCCACAAGAATAACTAATGATTGTTGCTTGGAAATAACGTAATTCGGGGCATATATCATATAAATATCAAACCAAAAATATGAAAATAATATTTATTGGGGCACAAAGTCGATTACAAAATAATATGGCTAAAGAAGGATACAAGATTAACCAATGTAGAGTAAGATTAAAATTATAAGTATACAGAATATGAAAATTTCAAGGTTCTAAAAAGGCATACGGAATGATGTGGGAAGCAATCAGTTGGCAGTTGAACGATGGATACCAGGGCTGAAGTTGTTGATGCCCCGATCTGAATTAGCTTTTTATGTGTGTGGAGACAGGCGGCATTGCCTTCTGGATGTCTGTGGCTCTGGCTGCTGGCTGTCTCTTGATTGTTAGTTGGGATGGACAAAATACACCTGGCCGCAGGCCTCCACACACATAAAAGTGCAGAGCAGCGCATTTGATGGCAATTCTAACTAGTTAACGCTTTTGATTTCACATTTTCGGATTACGGTACATACTAATATGTGTCTGCTCTTTGTCGAATTTCTTAGGCCAATAGGTTGTGGATTAGGTGCCCCAAATGCGCTGCTCTGGCTCCGATTAGCTTCTCCATCGTTCAAATGTACGAATAAGGACCATCAGTTAAGGCGCTACACAGTAACAATCAAGAGTTATCATCCTTGTTGGAGCCGCCCCCGCCGACCCCGGAGCCCTGTGTGTTGGTGCCGCGACCGCCGGCAGGTGCTCGTACCGCTGGCGGCTTGTACTCCAGGCCCGGATCGAATTGCATTAAAACGAATACCTGAAATAGGTTGGATTTAATATATATAAAAGAAATATTTGATATATTAACAATGTCTAACCTGATCTGTTGGCAGTAGTGAAAAGTCATCGGGTGGGTTGGTTATTACATAACGTTTGCTGCTCGCATCACAGCTGGAGCTGGTGTCTCTGAATCGGTAAAGTCCGATGCACAGCATTCCGTACGACTTGAGGGCGGCCACGAACAGGTCTCCGTACTTGCCGCACTCCCCGAACTGAGCCAGCGGACCGTCGTACAGTGAGATTTGACCCACTCGACATCTGTTGATGAAAACAAATTATTTGAAAAATTATTTTTAAAGTTTAAACACTTTTTACAAAAAAACCTAATACAAAATAAAAGGTAAGCTATCTGCATAATCGAAAAATCTAGCAAGCGAAAGATCCTTCGTTATTGGGGCATAAACAAAAACCTTTTTGCCCCTCATCACTTAGTAAATTTATAAGTTAGACAGATCGTTACTTTTGTCCAGAACTATCCATTGAATAATTCATTTATTGGGTATGTTATTCATTTAGTAAGTTACTTTACAAACAACTACAATCCTTATCAGTGAGTACCTTATTCATTATTCTCACTGGACTCTTACCTGTCCCGATTGCTCAGACTCTCCACGGTGCTGTAGCCTCCGCGGAGGCCAGCTCCCTCGGCCAGGATCAGTTCCAGCTCGGGCGTGGCTCCGCCCGTTATCAGTGAGCGGATGAGCGTTAAGGCGTTTTGATTGAAGTAAGTCTGTATTCGGGTTTGGGTCAATCAAAATAGGTATTACAGAATATATATAGTACAGGGATAACTAAGCAGGGAGCACCCTAGTAGGCAAGGACTCAAAACGAAACATTACCGTGGACATCAGCGAGTCTAACACACTCACAGCAAAGGCTGTGCCGCAGGCGAATGGCTGCGTCAGATATAGTTCTGTATCTGGATCGTCGTCGTCGTCTTGATCGAGAAACTGCACGTTACTATCATTGACCAGTTCTTTAAACGACAACCAACATGTGAAGCATTAGTAGAGCACACACCTTTTCACCGCTTTCGTAGAAAGCGGGTGAGCCTGGCCAGGACACGCGGTAACTTCCCCAAATATAAACTAGAACCCTGCTTGATTTGAGTCATGGGGCCCTTTGACTTACAATTCGACAAATAGGTTTTACAGGATTGTCACAGAAGTTATTCGGTTTCCGCGAATTCTTTAGAACAAAAGCTATTAAAAAGAAATCAATCCTATGAACCCTAGGTAAGCTACACGAGTCACTTCATCAGCTACAAGAGCTGGTCTGATTTCTAATGAATAAAGTACATTGATCATAATTCATACCATGAGCTATGATTCATAGGAGTCATGAGCCCCATCAAAGATAAATCAAATGACTCATGAAAACATAGGGAGACATGACTGAAATCGTTATGCAGTAAACCCCAAACGGACCACCCTGTCCTTGGCCAGCCTCACACCGTTCGGTCGTTCGCAAACTCGGCCAACTTAGTGCGATGCAGTTTACCTGTTATCATGGGCACATTGGCCCCATAGACCGAGCCCCGCCGCTGCAGCACAATGGGACTGCCGGCGGTGGCGCTCAGGTTGTCGAACTCCGGGCCGCGCTGGCTGAGCACCCCGATCGTGTCGTCAAAGGTCATGGCCTTGATGTTGAGGGAGGCGAGGATCGCCTCCTTGTCGGCCAGCGTGGGGTCGTCGTTGCTAGGAACTTTGGCCGACAGGATGCAGCACATATCACACAGATTGACGTTCACCGCCCGCAAGTCGGCTCGACTCAGCGGCGATCCGTTGAGCACCGAGATCTTGGGCAGGTTCTGCAGCATCTTCCACTCGCGCCGGATGTAGTCCACCGAGCCCACGATGACCACGTGCTTTAGCTCGTGGTAGTGGAAGTTGGACGCCCGCAGCGGCATCACCAGATTCCGCAGCCCGATCAGCGGCGAGTCGGGATCGGCGAACAGGCACACGACCACGTGGCCGTTCAGCACGGTCATGGCCGCCTGGTTGCGATCCTGCACAGAAATACGGAGAGGGAGTAAGTCATGGGCACTTTGGATAAGATTAAAGTTTTTAATATTATAGGACATTTCTATTTAGTCTTGCATCACAAAACCAAGCTTGTCTTTAGAAATATTTAATACCTTTCTAGGCTTAAATTCATAGTCGTAGGTTAACAGATCTTTAAGTGCATGCGTAAATTATATTATTTAAGCCAATTAAATGGTATCCATACAAAATGGTTCATTGAAACCATCTCTATTCCTTTGCCTAACACTGTTGCTGACTCAACCTCGATGCAGTGAAACACTTACCAGTATGCAGTCTTCTAAGCTCTTTGCCGGACTCCAGTGGAACATGCCCGTAGAGTCGTACTTCATTTCGGTCTTCTCGAAATCGAAGTCCTTCGACTGGTCGTCGGCAATGCCGGCGGGCAATGAAACGCCGCCGTTTTGATTCTGAGTGCCCGTGCCGGAACTGCGACTCGTCGGCCTAGACACAAGTAGAGCGATAGAGACAGAGAGTAGAGGTGTTAGCCATCGGGCGGTCTGTGCTGGAGTTTCGGTTCATTCGATTCGTTCATAATGGGGTTTACTTCGATTCAACTTTCGACTTGCATATGCAGATTATCAACCAATTCAAAAACAAACGCTACATCCAAATGCAAAGTGTTCATCGGAAACGCTACGAGTACTTGTGTCGTTCAAAAATGATGTGAATACTTCAATACGAGTACGAGTACTTGGAGCATATTGAATTATAGTAAAAAAATGTGATCTCAATACGATAGTTAAAGATAGAGAGAGTTTACGTTTACAAAGATAAATACACGGAAAGTAGATAGATAGAGATAGAGAGATATAGAAGATCATGTGCTAATAACGAAAGTTTCGAAATGAAGGCGAACAAGAAATTGGTAAGAAATCAATTTGTCACTACGCAAAATGCTTGATCTGCCATCCGGCGGTGGTGGATGGTGGTTTGATGGTGGATGTATCAATAACTATAGGTGATATTAGTGTTATTCGTGGGCGATCTCCCTCAAAGTGTTTTGTTGTGACTCAGGTGCTCGGCATGCGCGAGGGAGATGCCTTAGTCGGCCAACCACCCTCCATCCGCCGAATTTGCCAGCTTGTATCTACAAAACTTAATGTGTAATCATAAAGAAAAGGAGAAATATATATATATATATATGGTACACAGGTGCAAGTTTTGACACAAAGATGATGACACAGAAAAACACACACAACAATAATATTGCAATTCAAGTTCAAATGATCCAGAGAAATGTATAGAAAATGCTGGAGAAAAGGTGGGCGATTATTAGGTTTTCAGGTCTAAGACCAACATCTCATCAGAAGTCTTTAGAAATAAGTTCAAATATTATAAGTGCTTGAGCGGCCCCAAAAGATATGCTACACTTTTTAGCAGAACGTATTGTCTAAGATGGTTTCCTGAAGGGAAATCCGTATATTGTGGAAGAGTTATTAATTCAAGTTAATTAATTCGAGTTATTAATTCAAGATTTCAGTTTAATTTATATAGAAGAAAATCTAAGAAATACATATAATTCAGCAAAAGAGTATTGGATTATATTCTTAGAAATAAAGTACCAAATTTAAATAGTGATGGAGATTTATTTAAATATTTCACAAAATTAAGTACTTATTTAGTTTAGTTAGAGCGGGACACACACTGAAGATAAGAGAGCTCAAATGTTAGTAAACAGAATGCTTTAGAATGATATGCGATTGGTTATGCTGGGTTAGTCTATAATGCGAAATAATCATGGGGCGCACACACATACACACGGACATATACACACACTCGCATACGCAGAAACATGTACAGACAGAAATACAGAAGACAGCGACATGACATAAACGCACAGAATAGATTAGTTTTCGTTTAGTTTAGTACGCGTATTTGATGGTATGGAAAATGGCATAGCTTTCGATCAATCAATATTAATATCAATGTGTGTCAAACAAAATGCGCATAAGATGTAGTTAGATAAGTATTAACGAATACTAAGGTATAGTTTAAAAAAGGCTTTTGGCTTTTTTTTTGTTTTGATAGAGTTCGTAAGTTAAAGTTCTAGGAAATTATGGACGCATACATGAGCTTTTTAACTTCGTAAGCAAGTTGATAGCCCGCATAAGGGTTAGCATCATTCTCTGGTGGCCTGAAACAAAATGTTGTTCGTTTTTATACATTTAGACTGGTTAAAAGTTATTAATTGGTTGGTTTGTATTCGTTTTTCTTGAGCGAGTGATTGAGTGGTTGAGTGAGCATGTGAGTGAGACAATTAGTTGAGGTGTGTGGATTAGTTGGTTAAAGAGCATTTACATATGTACCAGGCACCTAGATACCCTTCTTCTTTTGTCCCTTGTGTTTTGTGTGAAACCAAACATGTATAGTAAAACACAGTAATCATAATTGAGTGTTTGCTGCTTGTTTCTTTGTCTGTAAGGCAACCAAAAAGTGGAAAATCAAACTTTATGCAGCTGCAAACGGAGTAGACCTAAATAGTGTGTACTTGTTCTTTTGCTCTTGCTCGATTACCGACTTTGCTTTGCTATTTGATAACTGAACAGAGTGCTGTTTAATGTGGTAATCTCTATAGTTGGATAGATGATGGCCTGCTGTTCCTCCGCCCTGTAATATATATAAAGTCCCCCGCGACGTGGTCACCATCACTCACCTGTTGTACTGCGATGGCGATATCACTTGGCCCTCCACCTGCCGGCTCACATTCACCGTGGGCTTCACCTTGTTCACCTGTTTTCCCGCCGCCGCAGCTGCAGCAGCCGCCGCTGCCGTGTTGTTCATGTGGTGCATGCCACCCGTACCGTTTCCAGTGCCGTTCGGACGGCGCACATTGCGATTGAGTACTGTAAAGGAGATGGACAAGGTCGCAGCAGCTTAATGGTTAGGTCTACCCCATCAAAACTTACGATTCGTATCTTCTCTGTCACGAGTGATATCACCTGTGACAAATCGTTTGGCATTGCATTGCATTGGCATTGGCAGTGGCAGTGGCATTAGTTGAGTGACGAGATCATAAAAAGAGCAGATCAATCGATTAGTAACTTGGCAAGGCTGTTGAGAGTGTGAAGAGATACTCATTGGCTTTAGATATTAGTCATTAGTTAATCGAGAAAGGTATTCTTGAGCCGCGAGTTGCATGTTTGTTATTGGTAGTTCTTAGTTCTGGTTATGGTTCTGTGATGCTTTGTGTATGTGGCTTGCGACAGTAAGAAATAAAGTTGGTAACAAGCAGATCGGTTATGCAATTTAAGACGAATGTGTACAAATAAGTAAAGTAAGTTAGATAGACATCAATATGGTATATGGGGGAATATATAGGCGGTTCTTTAGATAGATTATATAAACGAGTTACATTAGCATAGAAACGAGTTCTGTTCAAGGATCAACGCAAAAACAGAGTTATGCAAACGAATATCTAAACAATTATCTTGAGGTTGTACTTGATCGTTTATTGATTGGATTGGATTGGATACATTTTACTTTCACAACTGAGGAAAAAAGCGAACCAAGGCAAAATAACACAAATAACTGATACTGATTGGGCAATGTGTGAGGGAAAGATGTGCTATCCACCCATCATCGTCATAATCATCGTCTGGCGTTCAAAATAACCTTTCTGTGGATCTGATCTGACTGATACCAAATTGAGTGAGTGTTCGACTGGGACGACTGGACTTTACCCGAAACAGATCCACGCACATGCACCCTTTTCGGTAGCTCTGGAGGCGTAAATGTGGGTGCAGGATGGTGTTCATCTGTAAAATACGGTGGTTCGTTATCGCACGGCTCATGAAAATCAGATTCGGTGTGTGTATGCATTTCTTTGTGTTTTTATATGGTCAAGCTTTTTATGTGAAGCTCATAATTGCTTTTGAATATACAACAAATTCTTTTGTTTTGATTCTGTTTTCTTTTTTTTTAAGGGGGATCGTGTTTGGTTTTTTTGTAAGAACTGAAGCGGTAAGAGTTTGGTTTGTTTCTAAAATAAACACGAAATTCGAGAGGAAATCATAGAGAAATTAGTCTGACTCTTGGGGAAACCCAGGAAAATCGGACGAAATAAAGTCGAAAACAAAAACTGAACGAAAGGTGTTCAAGATGGTCGGGGGATGGTTCTTCGGGATTCATTTTAGGGTATTTGCTTTATAGAATGTCGAACAAAACATGCAAATAAATATGAGTTGAAACAGAACTTGTGATGGTTATCTTACATTTATACAAACGGGTACAAAACATATTTAGTACATAGATATACGAGATAAAGGTACAAACAAGTCTAAGCAAGCATTGGTATATTCGGTATAGGGATACAAACCAAATCGGTTAAAGCTTGAAGCATTATTTAAGCAACACGCTGACTAAGTGCGGAGTACAAGCTGAGTAGCAAAATTGGCAAAATGTTGGCTATACGCTATATAACTTCATCGATTGCTTTTGGCTGGCTGGATGTCAGTATCCGATTATCAAAGCATTTAATACTTAGACTGCTACAGCTGCTAACACCCACTCAAAGAACAACTTCAACGATCTCTCCAGCTACAAGTTGCACTATCTAGTTTATCCCCAGCTTCTGATTCGGGGGCTGTATTTAACGATTATCGTTGGTTAGCAATTTAACTGCACGGAATTTGGAATATATTGCTCTCTAATTGATCCCTCCCCCCGCCCCTCCTGATCCCCGGGGGGTGGTTGAGGGAAGCTTTTTTTGCCGCTTTTTTTGTTTTTATAATGGGTGGCTGTGATCGGATATGGTGGCTCTAATTATTGGCTCAGTTGCTTTGCTTTCTTGAGTCATTTGCATTTTATTTACTTTCATGTTGATTTATGCATGGTAAAACAATAACTTACGATAGGGTTCTCTCTCTTGGAAAAACCGAAAATAACCAAAACTAAACCAAGATACAATACAAATCACGAGATTCGAAACGAAAAACGTGCACTGGCACACCGTTAAAAGTATGGAGGGGAACTCTAGTAAATTGAAATAATAACGAAATGTTTTCAGACAAGTACAAATGCGATTTAATTATAGTAATTCTTGTTCTGGTTTTTGGTTTTTAGGTTTTGGTATGGAAATACAACAGTTTGAGTTATTTTGACTTACTTGACAACGAGTATTCATCGTCTTCTACACACACACACAGAGACATATAAATAGGAGTATTTATTGTAGTTGTAGTAGTTGATACGGATACGGAACACGAATGTGTGGGTTTAGGGGGAGTACAATAGAAAGATGATAGGTTTACAAATTTGAAATATATTATAGAAAGGAACATAGCTTCGGACGCAGAAGATCGAGTTTGTATATTTTACAGAGAATGAGTGTTGTGTAGTGTAGTGTAGTGTAGTGTGTTGTGTTTAGTGTAAGTGGAATGTCACTTAGTACATCATATAAACAGGAAACTTGAAGTATATGACATAGTTGTCCTAAGATACGTGAGTAGTTTCAATTTGTATCACGAATAAACGATACTGTACGACACGATACGATGCGATACGATATATATAGTAGATACAATACAATATGTAGTTAACGTTTGTACAAAATACTTTACGATATACTAGTACGATTATAATGACTTGACTTGATTAGAAAATGGATAGTATGGATTTCATACGAAAACACAACGATTGAATCGAGTATGGATATTTGAATACTTGATTTCCAATATTAACTGACTCAAGACGAAGTTCTGTTTTTTATTTGTTCTTGACCTTTTTTACTACACACTCACACGCACACTAAGGTTAAAGTTGAATACGGAAAAGTACACAATTACTAGAACGAACGAGTAGAAACGAAACATTTATGTGTGAGTGTGTTGGTGTGGGCGGGTGTGTGGTGCATTAGTGTTGGAAAGAGGCGGGTTTCTGGGGGGTTTTGGGGGTAAAGGGGGGCCAAGGGCTTAGTGTTTGTATAGCTGTGTGTTCTGACAAAAAATTGATTGATTTTTGATGGTTTGGCTGCCTGATTGATTGGCTTAGTTTTTGATTGGTTTGCTGAATGGCATATGCAGCTGAACAATAGCAATTAGAGTTAGTTGATAGTTAGTTTGGCGCTATAAACATGTATTTCAGCGTGGTTTGCAAGAATCTGGGGCAGATGAATTGGTAAATTTTAGTCTGCCAATTTTATATGTCATGTGGGGTTTCGTTTCGTGGCTGGTTATGATGGGTATGTTTTTGTATGCTTATCGGTAATAGTAGAGTAGTAGGACAGAGACAGGAGATAGAGAGATAGAAAGATAGAGAGAGAGAGAGTGGTAGAGTAGAGTAAGTTATACGTACTTGCACGCCCAACCATTTGTACGGCTCGGACGCCTTTCCGGAAGGTGGCCACTGTTTTTGTTTCATGAAAACAGAATTTTATAGGATTCGTGTGAATAGGTAAATGATGGCAAGGTAATGATTTTTGTTGATTTTTTCAATATTTTTTAAAATTTATCTTCTTTGCGCAGTCTTCATCATCTGCTTAATGGAAAATTGGAACATCATTCAACAAATGATGAATAAAAACATAGGAAACTAATTACGCTACAACGGAAATCATAAGTAAATCACACGGCACGCGTTGTACTTGAACTTTCGTTAAAAATATATTTATATTATGCTGATATATTCATATGTGGTATGCAGTTTATGATTATAAATAGATATATGCAATGTATATAAAGAATATATACTAGGTATGCTTTCTGTTTATTATGACATTATGCGCACTTTTCGGGCGAACTAGACCAGAAATCTTAGCAAAACTAATTTAGTTCTATAATAAGTAATGTTATATTTATACTGAGTACGATAGAGAGAACGGTAGAGCGAAGTGAGAAGAGAAGTACAAACTGAACTCAACCCTTAAACTAAAACTGATTCAATTGCACCCTATTTTGCCTAGTTTCTATTGATCCAACCCAGTTCCCCTCAATCCAAATTGGGTTCCCGTTGCTAGTTCGATTCTTTGACAATTAGCAGCTTACAGCCTTTCATGGTTTTTAGCAAAAACTAAGGCACACAAACGCTGACAATTTTACATCAATTTAGTATTGTTGATTTAGATTCCAAGTTCAATTAGTTTTTTAGTTTTTGAATAAGAACTTGGCGAGCCAAATCTAAGGAGCGATTACCAAACCTTAATAGTTCAATAGGTAATTGTAATATCTTGTTAACTGGTAAATGGGTATCAGACCTGCGGATTTATTTTATTTAACCAATTGGTAGCAATTTAAAGAAAAGATTGGTGATCGCTCGCATTTCTTTTAGATTGTTTGGGTTAGGATTAGGATTAGCAGCAACAAATAAATCTTTTGGCTTGGTAATATATAACGGATATTAATACTGGATAGAGCACCGCAAATCGCAAATAATTGGTTTGGTTTCGTTGTGGAAATGGATTTGAAAGCGTACCCTCCATTGTATTCATCACCGACGTGATGCCTTGGTTGACCATGCCCGTCTGCATCATAATCATGCCCACATCTGCAAGATGGTTACGTTTTGGTATTCAAGTTCAGATAGACACTCGCTCATACACACATTCAAATGTTAAAATGGAGATCTGGGTTCGGGAGTGATTCAGATTCAGAAACTTAAGCTCTAGGCACTAATTTCACATAAATTCAGCTGCAACACTGCAGGATCCCGCTTCGCTGGTTCAAAGCCATAACGCCATAATGCCATAACGCAGGCAACGCAAACTCGGCAAACTTACTAACTACTTGAGAACATTTGCAGCTAAGTTGGGTGTTTACAGATTAAGATTTAGATTCACAGAGTATAGGTAAAGATTGTTTAGGTGTTACGCTACATAGAAACCAAATACATAAACGTCGGTTATTATTCTTTGGTAACGCTTTGTAAACTTCTGCCGTAGCCCGATCTAATGTTATTTACATTTTTGCTTTGCAGCTACTCGCGGTTATATACAATCGCGTTAGATATATAGTATAGATAAATGTAAATAGAAATCTGTGGGTGAGGTGGGTGCCACGCCAAGAACACAAATCAAAGGAAAAGTGTTAAGAGGATTCGTGAGGACGGCGCAGCATTTCAAGAACTTAGGTCTACCGGTAAGTATTCAAGATAATTTAATCATAAGTATTAGAAAGAGTATTTAAATTAGAGCTGGATGCTGCAAAGGTGAGTCAAAATTGATCGAAAATAGAGTGTATTCTGTCTTAGTAAACATTTTTTTGTATGGTGATGGTGGTGTGACTGAATGTAAATTGATTTTTGTGCTCATTTCCATGCACTTATTTTGATCTCGTATTATTCTCAACACATAAGTATAAAGTACAAAGAGTAATTAGGGCGTTACAGAGACAGAGAGATAGAGAGAGATAGAGAGCAAGAGCAAGAGCGAGGATTAGCGAGACAGACTTTTAAAAAATTGTGCAGTTTCAGATTTTGAATAAAAATTGATCATCAAAAAAGGGCTGTCAATGGGGTGTAGTTTATAAGAAAATATAAATAGTAAGTGTTTTCATGCCTGCTTTGATGAAATACAAAGCTTTTATTGATTTGCAATAACGAAGTAAATTTAAAAAATATAAAAACAACATTGAATTGAAAAATGGTAATATTTTAAGTGGCGCCTGCTGATTTCATATTTATTGATTCTTTGTATTTCACTTCTTTGGGCTGGCATATAACGCATACGCCCCGTTAAACACAAAATCCTAGGTGTCAACTATCATGGTGGTACTCTAAATGGTTTTGGCGGATGGTTAAAGGAAAAGCAAAGAGTTTGTGGCTGTTGTTTAGCAGGTTATCAAAGAACTGGGGTTGCATATCGCACAAACATATTTACAAGGTCGATGGTAAGGTAAGTTATGGTTTGATTGCTTTGCTCATCCTCGCTGGGCGTCGGTCGGTAATGAACGTATATAGTTATGGATTATATAGTTAATCGTTACAGGTGTATGGGCTGTGGTTTACTGTTACTTCGTGGGTTACAAAGAGGCGCATGTCAAAACAAACAGTGACCAAAATAGAACTGCACAAGGGCAAGATAAACGGGCAGGACGGGTGGTTCATTGTTCATATATATATAGTAAGTAGATCGTATATAAGAATATGCTGGTGGGTGGTTGTGATGTCGGATGTGACGGAGTTCTGACCGGGAGGACGGGCTTAGCACAAACGGGACGGTCCAATGTTACACTTTGCAAAATCGTTTCAAAAACTAAAGACAAACAACCAAAATCAAAGTAAAAGTCTTGATTTTGTTGTGCTCTTGTTTAAGGTGAGGTGCTGACGGGAAAATCGGTTGGGTCTAGGATTTTGGGGACCTTCGCTTTGCTGTATTTTGAAATGTACAAACAAAAGGAAACGGGAATATGCAAAATGTACTTTATACAAAAGTTGGAATTGTAATCGGAATCGGTATTGGTATTGGGTAAGACTTCAAAACTGAGAAGTGTTCGTGTGGTTTTGTGTTCTGTTTTTTTCTTTTTTTTGTGGGATATTAGAGTGTGTTGTTTCTTTTTATTCTGTTTTGGGTTATTCGTTTTGAAGCTTGATTTACCTAAGTCATCGAATTTGCTCCTGGGCTGAACAGTCACTGTGGGACAAAGTTATGGCATTGGATTGTATTATTTGGTATTAAATTCGATTCGATTTCGGTTTAATTGGTTGTATTTTTTTTTTTTTTTTTGACAGGTTGCAAGTGCGGCACACACAGACGCACACAGTGTGTCCGAGGGGTGTTCGCAGAGTTGCAGCCATGCCAATGGGTAGTATTGTTGATTTGGTTTCGGTTCGGTTATACATAGTTAGTTGTTGCAGTTTTGGTTTAGATTTCATTGAGAGCGAGGCCACACGCGCCAACACACATACATAATAAATATATAATAAAAACATGGATATTTATGTATAAAAATATGTAAAAATATACGAATAGATTCATGGTAGAGTGGTAAAATATTTAGATATTCATAAAGGTTAGAACGGTTGCGCCGTATACCTAGTTTCTGCCTCAATATTCGCTAGGTCCTTCTTACAAACTAAAATCGAGTGGCTATTGCCTATAGTTTCTGTATTGCTTTTTCGCCTCTGGCTGTCTTCGAAACACGTTCGATTCACAAACGAAAGGAAACAACAAATCAAGTACATATTAAAATCAAAAAGGATAAGTTAAATTAAATCCATTGATACGTAAAGACTCTAAGAGGTAGTTTGGGAACTAGTTGGTACAAATGTTTGCTTACAGTTTTTGCATTTGCATTTCTTGATCAGCGTCTCGTCCTTGATGTCCTCGTGGCAGGCTTTGCAATAGAACCAGGCACTGCAGAAGAGGATGATTAACTTTGAGTTCCGGGAATAAACAAGCCATTTCTGGTCTCAACTTTTGTCAAATTCGGATACGGCTTAAATCAATTTAGGAATCTCTCAACATATAGACCAAATAGATATCAATACAAATCAGAACCAGAATGTTACATTTTTTATTTACGTCTTTAGGAAATGTTCAAGATATCTAATAAACATATCGATAATATATGAGATATTAATTTAAATCAGAATCAGAATGTTTGAAATATCGATTATAAAATACTATTTGATAAAAATGGTAACCAGAATCGGCCTGATGGACCTATGGGACGATCTCTTACCGCTTTACCTCGTCGGCGCTTTGTGCTATGAAGAAACCCTGGGTGTTGGCCTGGATTTTGGCTCCCCTCGGGTTAATGGAAATCTTGCTGTCCGCCCCCTCCTCGGCGCCCTTGATCTCGATGGCCAGCAGCAGGAGCTTCAGCTTGGAGAAACACAGTCTAAACGTAGGGAAAGTAGGGCTAAGTCAGTGCCTGCTCACTCGATCTCGCTTCAACTTAGTCTAGGTTTTGCTTTACAAGTAATTGAACCTAGTTTATTATGCTACAAAGGTGTAGTCGAACTCTCTCAAAAAACAGGCATGCACTTTGTGTGAGTGTGTGTGGGGTGTTTGTGGTGTGTGTGTGTATGTGTCGTTGTATTGGTGAGTGCTCAGAAGCGACACTGTAAAAAAAACGAACAATCAAGACGATTGACGAGTCAAAAATAAGCATGCTAGGCAAAATGCTTAGGTAAACTAGGAATAAATGGAACAAAAAGATCTAAAAAGAAATCAAAACTGCGGTTCATTGCCAACTAGGGTACACTCTAAAAAAACATTCTGCACATGCATTGAGTTCGGGTTTCGGGGGTGGAGTCGCAGTGGAGCTCTCTAAAATTATTTGCAGTGTACGTGTCTGACGCTCTACGAATCGCAGCGAGCGAGTTCGGAGTTAGCAAGCGATTGTGGATTACGGATTACGTTGGGGTTACGAATGCGATTGCGGATACTACGGTATACAGTACGTATACTGTACGGTATACGATAATACGGTCTCAGATGCCAATCGAAATGAGTGTGGGTTTAATATACAGGTTGTTCAATGCGTTCGCACTTGATTCTGGTGGCTAGTTTGGATCTTTCAGTGGCTATATGGATCTAAAGTATGGGTTTGAGTTGAGTATCGAGTTTCGAGTTATATTTATGGCCAGAGGTGGGAGTGGGAGAGGCGACAAACAGTTGTTTAATTGTTGGTTGTTATTATGAGGAAGGAGAGTAAATCAAACGGAATCGAATCAAGTTGTTAAATAATAGGAAAAAGAATTGGTAAACAAACTTATTTTGTACAATGCAAAAAGTTGTAGTAGTAGTAGTAGTAGAAGTAGTATTTTTTATACAGTTTGCATATAATTTTTTTGTTTTTTTTTTATTTTTTTCGCTATTTTCTCATTTTTGAGTCTTACTCGCTGGCTTGTGGGAATGTCATGCCGGTAAATGAAGGTGATAGGGTTTCGGTGTACATCTCACACCCTGTACCTTGAAGATAATCATTTTGCCAGGCCTGTGTGTCTGGTGACTGAAAGTTAGAAAATGGTTTTGTTGTGGTTTGCATTTAGTAAGTTCGCTAAAGTAACTACGTGGCGCATTATCGGTTTGGTTTGTTTGTCTGTTTGGATTGGTTTTGTTTAGTTAAGTTTTGGTGTGGCTGTGGCAGGTGGAGTAGACTGGTAGACTAGTAGACTATCAGAGATTGGGGACAAGTCCTACTTGGTAGACGTGTCATAGCTGGGACCTGGATTCTGGATACTGGATACTGGGTCACACATTTCAACAGCTGGCGAGTGTCGGTGCTAAAAGAGTGTGTCTTGCTGCTTTTGGATGGTGCTTGTTTCTGGGTCAGGCATTTGCATACTCTGGCTTTGGCTTTGGTTTAGCTTTAGCTTTAGCTTGGCTTTGGCTTTGGCTTGTCATAGCAATACTGCTTCGATCTCTGGGTTTTTGTACACTTTCTAGCGAACTGGCGAACTTTACAGCTTTTATTTGAAGAGGGCACGGGCACGGGCTTTTCGAGCATTTTGGGGTGGCATCAAGATCAAGACTCAACCGAACCGAACGTGTGTCAAATGAGCAGAAATCAAAAGGTTGAACTGAAACCATCAGAAACGGAAAAGAAAGGAACCAACTCAAACTAAAATGCACGCTGCAAACTTAGAACTGTTACTGAGAAACAGATACAGATACAGATACAGATAGATAGATAGATAGAGAGATAGATAGAGATTGAGATTCGGAGCGATCCGCTCACACAGATACCATACATTAGCGATTTTGGGTGTGTCTGTTTGTGTGTGGTGTGTGTTTGTTTGTCCTCAAATAAAGAGTCTGTTGAGGCCCGTTGGCCAGGCAGTTTTGAAGTTTGCTTTTGAAAATGAAGGATAAGAAACCATATTTTGTATTTGCAAACACTGAAGGCATTTTGAACACTTAGAACACTCAATTACATAAAGAATTTGCTTGAAACAACGACTAATTTTCACAATGTAATGTCTGGCTGGTGTGTTCGTGTGTTTTTGTTGTGTGTGTATGTGTCTGGTTGATAAAATCATAAGCTAAGTTCACTGGCAGGCACATTTACACGTTGCAACACTTAGATCGGTGTAAACGTGCCGGATCTTTTATCAAGAGAAATGAAAAAACAATCAACAAAAGAGAGATTTACAACGACGATCAGAACTGAGTGAAAACAAATAACTATGTGTTTACTTGTGGTGTATGTGAGAGTTGTGAGGTGTTTTTCCGGCCACAGGAGACCCAATTGTGACTTTCCATTTCCACATTTCCTTTAAATCACAATTGAGCCTCTTCTTGTAGGCCGAATATATCTTATGTTGTTCATGGTGTACGATATTTTTTTTTGTTTTTTTTTTTTTCGTTCAACGCTGCACGATTAACAAGTAGAATAGTAGAGTATGTAGTAGTAGCAGATACGATATAGTACTTTATTTTTTTTCTGGTACGAGTATTACGGTATAGCTTATGGTTGGAAAATTGGAAAACTGCCAGCTGCGTGACTTACTCAGTGGCCTGAGCAAATGGTATTCCAATAAATGTGGGACTCAATGTTTCAGTGTACATTTCCATGCCAGTGCCGCGCAGGTAATCGTTTGTCCAAGACTGCATGTCTGGCGACTATGGGTTATAGACGTAATTTAGAGATTGATATATTTGGTAATCGGTATTCGGTATATTCGGTTATCGGTACACCCTGGGCGGAACATTGTCTGCGGATCTGTAAATCTGTAAATCTGGAAAATATCTAGCTTCCGGCCTGCTTTCACTGGTCACTGGGCGCCAGTAGTGTGAGTGTGTCTGGTATTTCGTTGGTGAGTGGCCTGATCTATGGGACACTCGTCCCCACTTACCGTCTTGAACGATCGCATGGCGAACAGGTTGGCCATCATGGTCGAGAACCCGGGCGCCAGGCAACTCTGGGCAATGAAGCCCAGCTTCAGCTCCGCCAGGCAAATGACATCGTCGCCCTGTTTCCAGTCCCACGATGGTATGTTCAGCAAGTACGCCTGTGGAGGGATTAAGCAAGGGATAAGGAAAAATCTTAATATCTGTTTCCTAAAATATTAAATTAATTAACTCATTTTATAAAATGTATGATAAATTACATTAAAGTTTAGAAGTGACATTAAAAGCTATATAAATTATGACTGGCCTAGGAAAAACAAAATAAATGACGTAGTCAAATGTTCTAAATTGTAGATCCTAAACAAAGAAATTTGATTGACCTACTTACCTTATTGTGGTACTGCATCAGCTGGATGATGACTCGAATGTCGTCGCTGTAGTTTTTGATCGAGATGACTCTCATGATGTTGGCAGCATCTTCTGCGTCGGGATCTTGGCAATATTTGTTAGCTAGCACGAGGCAGGCGTCGGCTTCGTGAACCTGGGGAATCCAAGCATCCCAGGATCCAAGGTTCCAAGGATATCAAGGATTTGAGGGATGGGAAGATCGAGAGATACCGATTAGTACTGGATTGTGGTGGCTAGCCGGTTAGCTGGTTATGGTCAGACTATGTCTTCTAAGGGTAATTTGATGTTTGTCTCATGTGAGTTAGTTTTGTTATGTTGAACTGTTCAAAGTAGTTATGGTTCATTGATTGGTATTGTTACTGTTATTGTGAATACGAGTATATATTGCAGAGGTGTCACGTTTAGAGCATTGTCCACAATATAAACAATTAGTAAGCGGTTTACACGCACATCGACTGGACAGCTATGGTACGAGTATGAGTACTTAAAATGCCACAGGTGAGTGTTTTTGGTTTCTGGTTTCTGGATCGATCTGGCTGCGATCGAGTCCATATACCAAATATCTTGCATATACATTGCGTACTTAGTTGGGTTCTTTTGGAGTACGAGTAGTATTCATTTAGAGGGTATTCATCGGGGAGATAGTAAGCGGTTGTACAGTGGCAGGGTGGGTTGCTGTTTCGTTACGGTTTCAACTCCAAACTAAGGGCACATTAAGAAATCATAAGGCGAACGCTCGGTGCATGGCTGTGGGTGGGGTACAAGTACACAGAGAGGAATCGGGGTGATCGGTGTATGGGACCAACTTAATCAAATACCAAAGCCCCATACAACTTAAGAGCAACTCAAGTGGGCGTTAGACAAAAGATTAGCACTAGCTACAAGCATCTGTATTAGAGATTAAATACATGCAGTCCACATGCAAATAAGATAAGCTTAGATACGGTGGCAAGTGACTATACTTATCGCAACATTGCGATTTACAAGGCCAAGCGAAGGCTGCTCAAGATTGTTCATTCAAAGGATATCGATTAAATATACACAAAATATATAGATTAGGCAAGTACTTAATGGTGGCATATCATATTGTTAGCCCTAAACATTTAAGTTGAGTTGAAAATTGAATTATGCTTGCCTACATGTTTTTACAATTCGAATAAATCTCTTATTGCTTAAAAGCACCAGTTTATATTACGATTCAAATATTTTGATAAGCCCAATGCGGGGACTTAAATCAGTAATAAGCCAGTAAATCAAACATATATTTTAATTTCAACTAGATTAATTTCATGGCTTAAGACTGTCGGCTAAAAAATAAATTGAACTAAATCAATATTTTTGTACACACCCCGAATAACTTATACATACTCCAGACATTAAAAAAATATTCCTCAACTATTTAAGTTCGAAAGAAAAATGTAATTCGTGTGCCGCTTGCCAAATCCCTTTTTAATCCATACTATACAGTTAACAATTAACTTAACAATTACAGTAAAATACTTATCATCACATACATAAATAAGGAGTTACATATACGTTAATCGTTGTAAGTAATGCAGTAATAAGGATAAATTAAAATTAATTCCTTTAGTTTTTGCACAACAATATCAACATCAATTTACTGTGTGTTCTGTGTAGTTTCTGCAAGTGTATGTTTATTTATTTTGATTATTTTCAAATGGCTAGGCGAGTGCTGGGCCAAAGGATACATGTACCGACAAATGTGATGGTGTGTTGTACAAACTAAGCCCGGAAAATGCGCAATGGTCGCATACTTTGCACATGTGTTGCACGAACATCGCTTTCACATGAAGACAGACATTACACACATAACATACATACAGTATTGTATTAATAGGCAGGTTTTAATTACATTTGAGCGTTCGTTACATAAACAAGTAAAGGTAAAGGTACGTAAGAAGTAGAAGTACGCTTATTCTGGGATTCGGTTAATACATAACATAAGGAAACCAAAGCTCACAGGTCGAGACGAAAATAGACACGGAAAGGAATATAGGGTAAATGAACGAAAGCAAACGAACAAACAAACATATAGAACGGATAAAATGAAAATACATTTTTGTTTTACCTTAACCCTCTGCAGATCGATCGGATTCATAATGGTTCCTTGGAAGAACTCCACGGTGGTAAAATGACGTTTGAACAAACCCTCAAGTTCCAAATCGGGTGGTTTACTTTATGATTTTTCATTTGAAATTGTTTTCATTTTCATTTCGATTTATCGTGGTTTTTGTTTTTATTTTTTTTTTGGGAAAATAATACAAAGTTTTTAGAGTTTTCAATGATTCCAATGTACACAGAGTTTACGTAGATTGGATTGTATTCAAAGAAACAGAAGAATATCGTTGCATGTGTGTGGGTTGGTGTTCGAAACACAACAAAGAATATACACATATATGATTATGGTGCGATTTTCGGAGTCCGCAAATATGCAAATAAAAAAAAGGAAAAACAAACGATGCAGACAACTGTTAAAGGAAAATCTCCAAGCCAAAGGTGCAACAAAATTGTGAGTCATTAGAACTAAACTGGACTAAAATATAAACTTCGTATTCTCCTTACTTATATTAGAACTATGCTCTAGACAAAAAATCTTCTTAAATACTAGTTAACATTACTTAACTAAGCTCTCAATACCAAATGAATTCTATGATAGTATAAAAACTTCACGGATATATTACAAAAGGATTATGAGTTAAACTTTTGATTTCTACGATTAGGAAATGTAAAATATAATAAAATGTGAGATATTCGTAAGCGTCGGCTCGTTTTTGGATTAAAAGGAAATATAAAATAATTCAGCTAAGAAAGTCATTCCATTAAGCGAGGTACAATACTTTAAGCCAACGTAAAACGATAAACCAAGGAGGGACAAAGTGAACGGGGAGCACTTAGCTAAAATCTATCTAAAATTATTATTAACATCATTTGTCACGAAGCTCTGAGAGGAAGTGTAAAGAAAATGCTTTTCTCGAAAGCCTCATCGGCAGCAACCAGCAACCATTAATAATGATGCCATAATAAAGCTATAAAATTGCAATAAAAATAAACATAATTGAATTGTTCAAGTTCAACGTGAGAGCGAGCATAGATTTATGGTATATATATTATATATATATATATATAGATCGAGGAAGGGGGCGTGTCGTTTTTTTTATTGCTGTGAGAGGTCAGCAGCGAAAGGTATTTTTTATAATTTTCGATTCGAATTGGAGGGCAAACAGAGTGAAGTTGCATCCTAGCTGTTGAAGAACTAAGTTGTGGGCGTGTTTTCTGGCCACGGGCACAAAAACATTCACAGGGTTTTTAATGAGTTGTTTTTCTTGGTGTTGATTTTGCTGGGACACCTGACAATCGGGGCTCGAGTAAATCGTTTTTGGTTATTTCTGCGTGTCTTCACTGGTTTTTTTCTGTGTCTGTAGGTGTGTCTGTGTCTTTGGGTGTAGTGGTGTTGGTGTGGGTGTGGTTGTGGGTGGTGTCTAGGTGTATCGGTGTTTCGGTGTGTGTTTGTGTACCTTGACTCGCTCCAGGTCGACTGCGTTCATCATAGTGCCCTGAAAAAAGGCCACTGTGGTATAGTGACGCTTCAGCAGTCCCTCTAGCTCCAGGTCAGGCTCTTTGCTATTTGGTTTACATTTACATTACATTACATGATATGGCATATATAGTAGAGTTAAGGCATAAATATTTACGAAGTGAAAATAAAAGAGGTATTTCAAAATAAAAATGTATAGTAAACAAATTCCACTGAATGTGTGTTCGCTAGTCGCTAGTTTAAATACTTAAAATAGTGCCTTGAACTAACTTAACTGGCTGGGAATGGGACTCCCATCATCGAGTTAGTGGCCAGCAGCTGCTAATTATTTGTGAGCAGATGTCTGAAATTACAAATTTAAAACGCTGCCGCTGACCTCTAATTCGTTCTCTGATTTTTCTGCTTAGGTACTGCACTAATTTGTTCTCTTGCTGCTGATTTCATTTAAAACTCAATCGAAAGTACATTTATCAAATGAAAAGTAAAAATAAACAACGACACAACAAATTAGCAATACGGTTGTAAACAGGTAATGCTTCTGCTTAAACGCTAGTCGGACTCTGGATGGACTTACCGATGGAGAAAGACCACTTCGACATCGACATCCTCCCGATCTTCGTGGAGAAAGTCCTTCAGGAAATGCGACACGGATTCGTATGTTATGTGACCGCATACCACAATGTGTCTTGTGTGGGGGAAAAGAGAAATAGATTAGTTTCACGTATTGGCAGTGATTTAACGATTAATGCAACAATTTGGCTTAAATCTAGTGTGGAATGCAGTTAAGCTCTGTACATGTGTGACGTATGTTGATGTTTTTAATGAGGTGTGAGCGTGTTGCAGTGTTTCAGTATTAGTGTTAGTGTGCGATTAAGCAGAAAAAAGAAAACTGAATTTAGTTCAAGTCATTGTCATTAAATTAAATTCATTTCTTTATCCGAATTATTCATCTCATCTGCCATTAAGCCAACTCTATAATATAGTACATAAGCTGTCAGTGTCTTTGTGTGTGTGTGTGTGTGTGTTTGAGTGCTTTGAATGTGTTGGAATGAGTGCATGTCCTTTGGTGAGGCTATATATACGAGTATATTCATTGTTTTGTATTTATGTATATTTCTTTATATTTATTTATGCTTTGATCTGTTTGTATTATTTATCAACTGCTTGTCGTTGCCTTGTTATGGTTATCTTTATGGCTTGTCAGTATTATTTGGTGGTAAAGTAATTACTTTGCATTTTCTTGGAAATCAAAATCGTTTATCAAAATTATACAAAATACACGAACTCATAATTGAAACTTAAAACTCAAATGATAAATGCAAATGCATGAATTTAGTCTGCTACCCCAGGGGCTTGTACACAAATCAATCAATGGCAATAAACTAAAATTGTCACAAAACTAGAGCCTTGGCGCCACTGCGATGGCAGTTCGCCAATCGAAATGATAAGTATATAAAATCAATACGGTTCTAGGTAAAGGCTTAGCTACGCACACCATTTTGGTAGTAATCAACTTACATGCATCAAGTAAAGCATCAAGATTAGTCAGCAACTGGCCAACGCATTATTGTTTCTATATACACATTGTATGATACACTACTCTCATTCCATTTACTGCTACAGGTGCTAGGTATACAATAGATTATTTTGTTGGGTATTTACTGTAGTCACAGTCATGCAATCAGGCAGTCAGGCAAACCGGGCAGGCATTCTTCCCATACCTAATATAAAGTGTGTGTCAGTGCCACTACACATGCATACTTCTACATTTTTTTCGAGTGTGTTGGATGTTTGTGAGGTTGTGAGAGTATGTGGTTGTGCTTCAAAGACCATGGAATAGACATCACATAGGCCACGATCACTAAACACCCAAGTGTCTAGCTACAAAGTCTAGGGCAGTCAAAGTATAAAATCAATAAGCCAGAAAGACCACAAGGTCCTCCAGAGAAAAAAAAATTTGTTTGTCCATAAAAATATTTCAAAAAAGTCAGTGAGTTCTCCGACTGTACAGGATAATCAAAATCCTACTCGTCTAGAAAAAATCGAATCATTAATGGTCGATGTCATGATTGTGATCTGTTAGATGTTTTATTTGTAGATCAAATTCGGATGCAAGGCTGTACAACTCTTCAACTCTACGGTGACAATAAAATATTGTGTTCGACTAGGTCGCTAAAAAGAAAGAACTTCAATTTGCATTTAACGAACAATCAAACGAAATAAATGCACTACATTCGATTAGTTCTTGTGTTGCTTTTTGTTTTTCTTTTCATTGCTGCAGCTAGAGAAACGAATGATGAAATTATTTGTGGTTTTTCTTGAAATTATATAAATATAGAAGGTGAGAAGGTTTAATAGTTGATGCCTGGCCACGCATTTTCATTGTTTTATTTTCACACAGCGTCGCTGCTCGGAATGAGAAAACATAAATTATAGTAATTTCAATGCGCCAAATCTATCGCTCAGAAGTGTGCAATGAATGTGAGTGTTTTTTGTTGAGGAAATCAAAAACTGTGGATAGTTGAGATCTTGGAAGAGAGACAGAGTTGCGGATAGACAGGAGGAGGTGTGTGTATGCTGAGATTTGAAGGGGCTCGGATACGGATACGGATACGGTGGTGGAATCGGTGGAATCGGAGGGTTCGGTTGCGTTTGATGGTACACTCAGAACTCTTAAACGAGCAATATTATTTTGTCCTCATCGGAGGTCCCTTAGCTAGACAAACGGGGGTCGCAACAAATCACACAACGATGTAGCCTGATCCTGATCTTCATCCTGATCCGAACAAGCTGGGCAGGGGCAATCCATACACAACACTGATTTACGACAAGTGGAGTTACAGACCCATCCGGTTCGAATTGTATACTCTAGGGGTCTGTGTGTGTACTGTAGTTATGGTTATTTATCGCTTTATTGGTTGATCATACCGTTGTATTCGAATGTTCGTTGAAACAGAAGTTCGCAAAGAAGAGGAAAATATCGAAATCATAATGACAAAAGAGTGTAATGTTCATAGTTGTTTATAGTATAGTATAGTATAGCATAGGGTATAGTATATAAAAGTTTTACAAGAACTACAACACGGATAGTGGCCGATAACTGATTTTGAAGAGTTTGAAGTTTGAAGATAGAAGATAGAAAGATATATGTGGAGAAACAGAGAGTAAGAGTAAAATATGTGGGAGGATATATGGGTTGTATTGATTGATAGGCTTTTATTGATTTGTTTTGGAGTTACACACACATATATTATTCCTGTTGCCTGTTGTTGAGGTGGCAAAGCAGTTTTCTAATATTGTACATTTCTAGACAAAAATATTGAGCAAATTGAAGTCTTCCGTGAAAATTGCTTGGTATTTACAAATTGCTGTCTGTACTTGGGGAGAAAAAGTCTATAGAGAGTTCGACTCTATGCATGTGTGTGTGTACATTTTGAATTATATGGATTCTAAGATTTACGTATACAATCGAATCGATATTATTGTTATTTTAATGTTATTATTATTGTATTTAGTATGCATTATTATCGTTCAATGATAAATCGTTTAAAATGGATATACATATACGCATGTATATTTTTATTTATGTATATAGATATATATATACGAGTTACGACTTCGATAGCAAGGACTATATAGACAATTACGATAATGTAACACAATAATAAACACCAATCACTGATTCACTTCAAGGGCTAATACAAATGCAAAACGAGGCTAGGATGGTATGGCATACAGAAAAGAGAAAAACTAAAGAGTATACGCAAATGGAATTTCGGTTACTGCCAATCATCAGCTCTGACTTCACACTCGCTTGCAGGACGACCTGCAAATTATCCAATTCGTTTCTAGGTAAGTTCACAAACATAATAAAAAGATAGGGAAACCATAATACACTCAAAATCGAAAACGATTTCGGAAACTGAAGAAGAACGTGCAAATCAAACGAAAATATAGGAGCTAAAGATTTTAGATTCAAGATTAGGATGTACGAGTACGATATAGAGAGTAGAAAGTAGCAGAAGAGTTCATAATTTGGCGTTCAAATTCGGGATGTAGTATGGAAACTCACAACAAGATAGCATTTGGTAGTTAAGAGTACGCACATGATATAGTAGTAGATACACTCAGAATAGTATTTTAAGTACGAAACAATTGATTGTATGTGGTACGATTCTCAAATACGATATCTGCAAAATGCCAATTCAAAGAACACAAAAATCAAAACTGGCAACTAAAAACGCAAATCGATGGGCGAAACGTAAACGTAACGGAAGAAAACGTAACTAATGACGTCCTAAGTTACGTTTCGGGTATTACGTATACGCACTGAGCTACGTAGTAGACACGTCTAGGTCGCAAAACGAAAACGAAAAGGAAACTGAAATACAACCAACGCAAAATGAGTTGTTCGAGAACTAAAACATATACTTGTTGTTCTTTTTTTTGGTTTCGTTTTGTTTTTCATATAAGCAATATATGGGTATTTTAGTTAAAATTTTCTTGTTGATTTTCGCTTTTTTCAATTGTTGTGTGGTCTGTTGTTGTGGCGGTGAGTGTTTGATCGATTAAATGTTTTGAGTCCGAATTTGGGCTGGGTGAGTGGAGTGATTGATTGATTGGCTGATTTTGATTGATGGCCTGGATAGTTCGACTGTACAAATGCTGTGTGTGTGTTGTCACTATTGTTCATGTGCCGTCCTGAGCTTGCCAAGCGGTCCCACAGGGCTTATGAGTAATATATTTTGTGTGTGTTCGCTTGAGTTGCTGATGATGATTATTGCGATTGGGGGGTGGGTTGGTTGGCTGGTTGGTTGGTTGGTTGGTTGGTTGGTTGGTTGGTTGGCTGGCCTGGCCATGTTTTGTGGTGGCTTTCGTGTGGATGGCTTGTGTTAGATTGTTGGGGTGTGTATCTATTGGGGTTTGTTTTATTTTTTGAGAAGAATCAAAATCAAATTTCAGCTACTTTTCCACACTCACTTAACGTTTGGCATGAATGAAGCGCAAACTAAAAGTAAATTCTCTTTATTCAACTGCTTTTGGCAGAAATTTAATTTTGATTTGGTGTTTACTTTTGGAAACATAAATACTCGCTCTTGGTTAGTTTTTTAATTTGAGGGTGACTTTAGGCTGTTGTTGTTGTTGGCTTAAATTTATGATTGGTATTTTATTTTTGTGGTAGTTGTTGTTGTAGTAGTATTTTTTTTATATAATTTTTGTTTTAATCAGTTTGTTGATTAATTGTTTTGAATTGTTTGATTGTAAGAAAATTTGGTTTGTCTCACCTTCGCCCTTTTTCATTTTTTAATGTGCCCCCATATTTGGCTCTTGTTCCAATCAAGTCTATAATCTCAGGTATACAACTTGCAAAAATCGCCTGTTTACAGTATGAAAGATAATGATGACAGTGAAGTATTTTTGTTCTTTTCGTTTTTTGGATTGTTGATAAACTTAAATAAAAAGCATTACACAAATTTCGTTTTGTTTGACACAAGACAGAGACAAAGACAAAGAGAAAGTGGCCCGAAGGATCAGCAGAGAGGGTGGAGAAAGTAGAACGAGTATGAGGGGAACGACTCGAATAAGGACCTCTACAAAAGTACATGATATACGTAGATCGGCAGCCAGGTGGATCATTTCGACTCGGTTGTCTGATTGCTGTATCGCTGCTGGTGGTTCTTGTTGTTCTAGCTGTTGTTGTGGACGTCTTGAAATCATTCTCTTAAATTGGAAACAAGGAAACTCAAAAAACACAGTAAATGGGATCAAATAAACAGAAGGTATGCAACAAATTGGTCTTATTATCTTCATAAATCGATTGGCCGCTTCAACGGCTTGCAGCTAGTTTCTTATGGCTCTAATGGTTTCTTGGGGTAAGGTGTGTGATTACAATACGGAATGTACATATAGTTAACATATTTCAAAGACTATGTAAGTGCCAAGTACACACGCACACACATCGACGGAAAACTGGCTTTCGACTTCATCTTTGTGGTGGGTTTCAGTGCCTAAAATCTCAACTACGACTAATGAAATCGGGTGATTCTAACAGACTAAACCGCACATATGTGTGTGAGTGTTGGATATCGTATCGGGTGGGAATCGGTTCGGTACGGGAAATAGTTAAAATAATGTAAAGACATGATGCTGATACTGATACTGAATACGATCTAAAATTACTGCAACTCTTTACTGATTACACGTACACAAATATCAATATTCCTCTAAATGATGATCATCGAAAAAACATTTTTCAGCGCCCAAAAGGCGCCAATTTCGTATTGGTTTCGTTTCGTTTTAGTTTTAGTTTTATTTTATGCGTGGCTGCGGCATACAAAGTGGGTGCAAGCAAATTAACGATTTTTAAATATAGATGATTAGATTGAGTGATTAGGTAAGGTGTGTGGAATTAGTTTCGTATTGGTATAGTAAATAAATTACAAGTAATCGATATAGTATGTTGGATAAGTTGAAATTGCAAAAATTGTAATTGTAATTGTAACTACTGCAACTTTATTTATGTATGTATCGCATATAGGAACAAGTGGAAAACATATGGAAATCGTATTTGGAAATCAAAACTCTATGCGGGAACCAAAGCAGCAACTGGGTGTAGGTGTGTTCCAACCGAAAATAGAATAGAATAGAATAGAACAAAACCAACGCACAAACAAACAATTCAAATTCAAATTTAACGAAAATGCATTTCGGTAACGAAGGGGAAAAGCCAGTAAAAAGAATGGGTTTAATTCTTACATATGTATATTGATTCAGCGCTAGTTTTGGAGCTTAACACTTCGAACTCAAAATCAATGACGCAGCTGAAGTTGCATAAAAACACGCAAAAGTGGCTCTGGTCTATGTACGGTAATAATCAAAATCCAACCACAAACTAAACAGAAACCAAAGACGAACTCAAAAATTACACATTTCAAATACAGCAAGAGTTTAGCCCTTTTTCAACTTTCACTTTCACTTTCACTAGAGGGACTTTGCAGCAAGTCGCCTGGGGAACACTTTCAAATACTTCTGTAAATTATTTTCTGCAAAATGTAGTGTCAGGTGGTGATCGTATATAGTACTGTTTGTTGACTTTGTTGACTACCAAAAGTTTGAAATGAGCATGCTTCAAATCGAACACAACAAATGCGGGAGCCCATAGAAAAAGCTTTGGTTAATTAGCAAAAAATCTGCATTAAAATTTACAATAAAGATTAGTGAAACCAAAAGGGGTTTAACGGCCCAGAGATTTTGAACTTTAGACGACAAAAAGTGTTGCATACCCACAGGCACCAAAAAGAAAAAGGTTTCTTTGATGTTTGAAGCAATTTATGAATTTAACAATTTATCTCTCTAGCTAAACATTAAGCCTAATGAAACGCACGCAAAAATGAAGCCATAGTTTTAAACAATAAGTATAATGTGTGTGAGCGACAACGAGAATTACAGAAGGATTTGACAAGTAAATTACATAAATTATATCTCTTGCACGGAATAAGTTTTTTCCATTGATTTTTGTATAATATTTGCCATGATTCTTCGAATGTGTTTCCTTTTTGTTTTATTGGTTAACTAAATACAGACACATGCCGCCAAGAAACCAATGCCTTTCAAGTCCTAATTGCTTTTACTCTTAAGTTTTTTTTCCTTTGGTTAAGCTTTATGAAAATAACAAAACAAGATAATTTGGTTGCAAACTGTCATCTGTTGACAGTCAGAGTTTGGCATTTTTATGCAATTCCAGGTGACGTCGAAAAAATTCTCAAGAAAAAGGTGGAAAGTAACGAAACATAACGAAATAATACAAAAGCTGTTGGTTCATTGACTGAAGTTAGGTAAAGATAATTTTGTAATACAAATAGAATTCGAGATTCTTCGATTGCTGCGGTGTTTTTGGTATTTGTTTGCTTTTATAATCATTTCTTGTTTATCTTATTAGTTTCGTGTTGTATAGTTTTGGTAATTTCTCTTAGCGGTACAGCCAGCAACGTGTTCGTGTACCTTTTTCTAGGATCCTTGCTATATGTTCCACCATATTTGCTTCTTTGGGCAGCCAGTTCAGTGATTTCTGGTATCCAACTAGCGAAAACGGCCTAAATTCAACAACACACATACACATTTAGATTGATTGAGACGTGCCAAAAAGGAGGATTCAGTTCAGTTTTTTCAGTATTGCTAGTATTGCTGTTTTTTAAATCATTTTGTTTACTGTTCTGTTGGGCTACAAAATGCATAAACTCATGGTGTGTGTTAGAGTGTGTGTGGCTTTAAAAGAAATGGACAAAATTATTATGCGTACAGTTCCTTGGGCACAAATCAACGACGACGTTGACGTTGACGCTGACGACGAGGAACAGTGCAGAATGGGAACCGCTCAACCCGCAATCACACTTATATTCATATTCATATTCATATTCGCTCCAGACACTCGCATCGCAATCACTCCTTTATTTACACCGATTCACGACACTCACTCCATCAGAAACAGATACTTTAGGGCTAATTGTACATTACTTTACACGACTGCTCGGCACGAGTTCGCATTTAGTCAACGGCATCTATAGTATTTACTGTACTCTTACTTGGTTACAACTAATAATTTACATTTGTAGTTTACAGTACACGACAGTGCTGGGGCCTAGACAGAGACATATTTGAACCCCTCTGGAAATATTGTTGGTAGTGCGCTAGATATTACGCTATTGAAATGCCGTACTTTGTACAATCCTAGTTACGTTTTACTATGAGTATTTGGGGGCAAGTACGCTGCAGATTGGTCGGATTCAATTAATTAGTGGGGTGATGAAAAGCAAAACTTCGGTCCACCGAATTTCCAAGGCAGTCCCAGCCTCAGGATCGAAATTGGGCAAGGCCTTTTGGGTGAACTTTACTTATGGTATAGTAAAATGGTTCTGCGAGACTAACAATGTAGTTAAATATTTAATAGGAATAAAAAGGAAATATGAATTGAAAAATACATATTGTGACTCGAGTTTGCTCTCTTCAAAAATATACGACTTGATTTACGTGTTATAACTTTGGATAATTTAATTACTTTTATCAATGCGTGACCGATGCTTCTTGAGGGACTTGTGTTGTAGATGTTCTTAAGTGGGGACTCTATAGATCTGTGTGGGATGTGGTACAATAATGCGCCAAAATAGTTTGCACAAATGCTTTAGGATATCGAAATAAATATATATGAACCTTGAACTATTGCAAATTCATAAACGCATATCTTGTATCATAACTCTGGTGTTAATACGGAACGTTTAAAGCATGGCAAAGTATAAAGTGTAAAACGATAATATCTTGAATCCAAAGGGAGACAAAATTCAAAAGTAAAATGGGCAAAAATGAACTCACGCTTGCCTACAAAGTGAATTATATATGATAGACATTGCCAAGGAGTTCAATAAAAAATTGTTCAACGAAACGAAATAAATCAAGGAAAACACAAATACCAAGAAATGAAAACAAATAAAAGTGGAAAACAAAACCTAAGTAAATGGAACATTAAAATGTTTAATGACTTGTACAAATAGATCAATGTGTGTTCGAATCCGATTGATTGTCGCTGACTGCGAGGCAACAAAAATGATAAATGGTAAAGTAGAATAAATAAACACAATAACCAAAGTACAAATCGTAATGATAAAATTGTACTTTACTTTTATTACTTGTTTGATGATTATCAAATGTCATATCTGTTTCGGTTTTCGAAATACTTATTTATAGTATCAAGGAACAAAATAGTTATACAAACGGACGACTTAAGAGCCGGCTGAACTACTTATTGATGCGGGTAAGTCAACTGTATATGCGATCATAGAGATACAATGAAATTAGGGAAACAAAGTGAAAGGGTAACAGACTAATTAATTTATCGACTTTAATCAATATCAAGAATAGGTGATTTATCTAATTGTAGTTTCACTTTACCCTAGATGGGTTCAAAATACTATTATGTGTGTTCTTTACAACATTTTTCTTTTGTAGTTCAACCAAACCTAGCACTGTGCTTGAAAGTCTTACAGTAGGCCTGATCATACAATAGTTCCTGACTGAATGCATCAAACTATGCTCATTGAATTTATATAGTTTCTTGTTATACTTTTAGGTTTATTGCGATTTATAACTTTTTGTGGATTATTTTAGAATGTAGCTGGGTGTTTTTCACATCGAATGCGATTATTATGTGTTATTATGGGTTTTATAGACTACCTCTTTCCGTGTTCTCTTTTCAGTTCACCGCCATACTTATTGCCACTACCGACGAGTTCAATTATCTCCGGTATACTGCTGGCAAACATTGCCTAAAATATTCCATCGAACACGAGATTAAACAAAAATCAATTCAGCAAAAATATATGTACTGGTTTGAGATATAGGTGGATGTGTCTTAGGCTTAGTCTAGTTGTTATTACTATGTTTATTCGATTACTTGCACTTGGGCACAAAAGAAAACCGGATTCAAGTGGGTTCGAAGTCAGGCCAGGACATTCACACCCAAAAGGGATATATTATATAGTAGTTAAACCTAAAAGCGTTTGGTTTGGTTTCGCATTGGTTACACGAATATGCGGCAGCCAGCATTAAAGCATGCAAGAACATTAACTTTTTCGGTATAGGTATAACATGGATGTATTTGAAAAGCTCCTGCTCTGACCGATCTAGATCCCTAGAAAGTCCTGACTCTTGGCTGTGTGTGTGGTGGGTATTTCTGGTGTTTGGTGTCTACAAATCTTCCATTACAAAAACCAAAGCAAATCGAAAGTGGAAACTCAAAAGTGATAAGGTAACTGCATGCATAAGAATCGGTTATGGGAGAAAGTATCGTATGGATCTGCGTGAACGAATGAGTCACCCGAGTATATCTAGTGGATATCGGACTATATAGACCATATATATCCGCTTGGTGGTGTGTTCGTGTTTTTGCAGTGTGTTAGAGGTAAGGTAAAGAAAACGCGTTAAGCTTGTGGGATGAGGTAAGCTAACGAAACTTTGGGAGGATATAAACGCAAATACGAAACTCAGCCGCAAGGCCTTAAATAAAGTTCCATAATTCAAAACTTGTGCAGCGGTATTAAGTCCATCTATGTATTTACATAACGTGGCATGTACATAGTAGAAATGCAATTAACAAATGTATTGAGTATAAGGTCTATAGTTACGTAAGAGAGGTCAAAGGGCAGGGGGTCAACGCATGGTTACTCTATAGTATGGTTACGGCTAAGAGAGTTCGAATTCAGTATCGATAATAGTATTAAGAGTATAGAGTATTAAGTATCGAGAGTGCTACACTCTGGCTAGTACTGATACTGATACTGATACTGGATACTGGTCTTGCTTTGGCTACTCAACTATGGTTTCTGAGCACAACTGTACTAGTAAGTAGTAGATTAGGCGGCAACCAAAACTTAAATCATTCACACACTTCAGCACTTCCAACCCCGCTGTGGCCGGACCTAAACTCAATGGGCATCGAGGCGGACAGAGATTAGGAGAGAGAAACATTGGCTACATCTGAATAAAGTGGTAAAGTGGTCATATATACGTACTCGGTTAGGACTAAAAGAAGACTTAGACTTATCTGCTGTGTGTGTTCAGACGGGTATTTATTTGTGGTTTCTGGCACTTTGTGTGCGTTTGCTTTTGCTTTGCGATTTTGCGAACTTACCAAGCCGACGAGCAGAAAGAACACGAGAAATGTTCTTCCCAGGACAGTCTCACAGTAAACGTCACCATATCCTACCGTTGACATGGTCACAATTAGGAAATAGACACAGGTCCAATACGATAAACGATGAGCATTATTAAAATCCAGCGGATCGCCAGAGTTCTCCAGCTAAATTTTAAGTAAATGCAAATGCAATTATCAGCCGCATCAGCGGATCCATTCTTGCTGCTTTGGACACTCCATAAACACATCGATACAGACATAGTGTGGGGCATCGGAAGTGCCTGGTTTTGGGCTCTGTACCGGGTTGCAACGCGGCGTATGCGTGATATTTGGGACTGGCTCCTCGCACACACACTGCAAAGCCCGTCACAGAGTCATCCGCACACTCAGGCACAACCCATTCCGCGTGTGTGTATATGTGTCGAGTGTGTTTTGTGTGAGTGCGTGAGTGTTTTTCTACATACCAGATGTATAATGCCCGCTGCTGTTAACCACACGGATATAAAAATTGATACTAGTTGAGCCAAGCGTATGGAGCTCGATGTTTTTAGTACGTTTAAATATTGTAAAATATCTGGAACAGTCATGAGACGTAGCGCTCGAAGAAATCGAAGACCTGTTCGCGATAATACACAAATTGCATAAAAATACAGGCTGTTCGGGATGTTTCATGTAGAGTAAGGCACATTGCATGCATACAAATCGATCAGGACACTTTGTATAGTAGGTCTTCGTGAGTGTTTACTGTACTGTTACTGCAACCGTATTTCATTGTGGCTGTGTGTGTGTGTTGTTAGGGATATATTTCAATCTTGAATCTTGATCAACACCGATTTGTATGCATATAACATTTTTGGAATTTCATTATGATAGGGTTTTAATTTAATAGGGAGTGTTTCGCTTACCGATCCATGTTCGATCTAAATATATTGATACGAAGGACGGGGGTATTGTAAAATAATCTACAAAACTGTACATTTCTAACATAAACCAAAGCTTATCGGACGCCGCTATGAACTGTAAGGAGATTGTCAGATTGAAAGAACAAAAAAACAAAAGAATGTTTAAGAATTTCTCGCATAAACCAAAACGTTCAAATCATCATCGCTCCAAACCAATTGATTCAAATAATTGTTAAATCAACTCAGTGTGTGCGCTGGTGTGGTTAGTGTGTCAGTTTTCGGTGTTTGGTATTTTCTGTCTGTCGTTTTGGCCGTCGGCAACTTACTCGTATAAAAAAGTAAACCATAAAAAATATATTGAATGCGAGATCGATCTGTTGAGTAATGTTATTACTCCACTTTTGGCATCTTTCGACTTCTTCGCTAGATGCATCAACAAAGTATATAATGAGGGATGCAATGCTGAGTATAAATACGAGTACGACCTGCAAGAGAGAAAGGAGAAAATAAATGAATAATAATAATAATATTTAGAGTTTTTACAACCCTTACAAAGTACATGTCAATCAATATAAATAAAATTTTAATGGTTAAAATTTGTTTTTATAATATAAATTTTACTATTGCCTATAAAATAAATCTTTAAATTTTACTTTGTGCAATCAACTCAGTTTTATTTATTTTTTTAATAATAAATTTATTTAATATCAACATGGCAAAATTATTTCATTAAGTGTAGGAATCAGTTTTATTGATTTTCTTAAATAACGAATTTAATACATTATTAACATGGCATAAGTTATTCTACTTAAGTGAAGATGAAGGTAGTTCTACAACTCATAAATTAATTGGTTGTTATAAAATAAACCCAAATATGAGCATCTGCTACATTTCTGTTCCATAAATCACGGCCTTGTCAGATGACAACCACATTCGAACGCTCCATTGAATTTACCTCCTCCTCCTCAAAAAAAAAGGAAATTGGAAAAGCGAAAGGCAAAAGGCAAAAGAGCTGAAGGAGAAAAGATAATCGGAAACGGACCCTACGAGAAAGAAGAAGGAAAACCGCAGTAATGTGCATTTTTAATTGCACACTTTGGCACAGGCCACGAACTCGGGCTCTCCGGCTGTCCGGTTATCTGCTTGTCCGGTTCTCCGGATCATTTGATTCATGGGGACAAGACAACGTTCGGCCTGAAAATGCGCGGCTGCTGGGGCAATTAGTCGGGGCACCCCGTTGATAAATCTGCGGCAGTCATGAAAGTTTTACAAGGTAATTTCGAAGGAAGTGCAGTCGGAAAAAGAGCGGGGGGATTGCAGTTAAATGTCAGGGCTGGCTGCCAACAAACAGTTTTAAATAGAGGCCAATCGAGGTAGTTCAACTTCAACCGGCTGCACTTTATGTGTATACGATGGTAGGTATGTCTGCCTCCGTACTTAATGCCAAAAAGTAATTGCAATCGTTTCGTAATTACGTGAATAATCTAAGGCGAAGAATGAAATACTAAATTTGGCACGGGCCGGCACGCAACCTATTTACTTAGGGCCATAAATTGAAATGTCTTGGCCCGGGCGTATTACTCACTATTCTTGCTCTGCGGCTTGGCTCTCGGTTGGTATGCAAATTACATACCCCACACTGAACCAAGAAAAAGCCAAAGCTCCTCAGAAAGTTGTTAGTTGCGCAATAAAGTTTTTGGCAGCACACACAAACTTTGCTAATATCAGAAACCAGACAAGAATTTCCAAGTAAATTGCAAAGAGTTTGCCTCGACCGTCTCTGGGATTGCGTATACGTCATGTGGTGTCAGGCAACTGACATTTTCATTAGCCGTCTTGATCCCCAAGAAACGGAAACATAATGAAAGCCCATTCCCAATCTGACGTCACGGACAGGAGGACAGTGGGTAATAAATGCTGCTTCCAATATGGCGACAATCTCCTCTGACGTCTTCACTTTAACACCCCCCGATGAACCTGCTCCGATGTCCACTGAAAACTGGGTCAATCACTCAGAGCAGCTGAGTTCGCCTCGCAAAGGGAAAAGCACTTAAGCCCTGCCTGCCATCAAATTGCATCAGCGCGAACTTGGAATCTGGGTCACGACGCGAGAAAACACGTGTCCCACTCATAACATTTTCAATTCGATTTGTTTCTCCCTCTGCAAACAGCTCCAATGCGATTTTTTCTGCTCTCCATAACGCTGCGAATACAGCAATCAATTTGAGAGCCAGCCAACTGCCGGCAGTTTAATGGCCTCGGCTGCAGAGGGAAAAATAATCTTTAGTGATGACAGATGGGCTACTAAGCTGTTTCAAAGAAAACCATATCAATTACATTCTCTATATTGAAAACCCCAAAGCCTGATTAAGACAAATCCACTAAATGGTTATTACATTTAATTTTCACTTGCAATTGGTATGTTTTGATGGCTTTATCATTTTACAAAAGAAGCTCTTATTTTTTGTTTGCGTGCAGCGGGCTAACACTTAAAATCTAAATACTTCTCTGATGTTCTTTTTTTAGCTTTTCCAGCACTTGCATTTATGGCGTGACCAAGTGCAATCGAGTGGGGTAAGTGCTGGGATGTTAGCTCTTGCAGCCAATTTCCGCATTGGAGTCGCGACGCGACGGATTCCAAAGCCAATTAGTGCTACAACAGGGCTTCAATCCGATTAGAGTTGAACGGAAAGTTCAATAAAATCAATGTAGGGAAATGTCATATAATAAACTAGAGCAGCATTTCGGAGAAAGTGGATAAAAAAAAGGAGGAGGAAACAGCAGGCACGAGTTGTGTAATATCCAAATGGCAAGCCATTCATTGTGCCAGCCACAATAACAACGCCCAACAACAAGGATAAACAAAACGAATGGGCGAAAGGACTTTCCAAAAACATCTGCAGCTGACTATATAGTAGGGAAAGCAAGGAAATTCGACGCTGTCTGCCAAACAGCGAAGCCAATTGGCTGCCAAAGCCTGCCACACAGCTACGAATGTGTATGGCTGCTAGGCCTGGGTAATAAACATTCACAACCATCCAGCCAACCAACCAACTCACTCCACTTCGGGTGAAAGTGGAAATGTGCGCGCTGTTTCATCGATTTTCCTTCTGGTAGCATTTCCTTTTAAGCGGCTGCTATCCTTCCATTTGCCATATTATTTACTGTTATTTGTGATGTGGCTTTTTCAGCACCCCCGCTAAAATGAATTCCACACTGCTAAAAAAAAAATTGCAAGTATTTCATACTGAATTTAAATATTCCTCGGTTGGATTTTCGTCTATTTAAGTTTTAAGTTCTTTAAATATTTTTGAAATAGAGTTTTATATCTTTAAATTAAGTTTAAGTTTTATCCATGTTAAACTAAATTTTATATAATTTTAAAACAAATATTACCCATTTTAAATATATAATATTTTCCTAATTAATTTCAATAATTGTATATTGAATCATGCAATTTAACATTTTGATTTTATATTTAATTTAATAAAAAAACATACCATTTTTAATTCAATACCCATTTATCTATTTTTACTATTCAACTTGTTTTTATCAGTGTACCCAAAAGCATATGCATACATCATTCCTTAGGGCCCGTTTCCCGTTATTAGCTGAAAGTTCCTTTGCCGCAGGACGAAACTATCGATAAATGTGCCAGACACACGGGGACCGAACCACAGGCGGTCGGAAAATAGGAAAACGGCGGTGGTGGTTTCCACATGTAAGCATGGTAATAGTCCTGCTCGACCGCTGTGCAATTGTGTGCCGGCTGACAAGGAGCAAGCAGCACTCAAATGCCAGGCGATGATAGTGCCTGGTCCAAGGATGGATGTTCCGCATTTGACCCTTGCAATCGGCCAGAGCTTGTCACTTTCTGTGGGACAGGCCGTGTCCTTGACTGCCAAAGATTGCTTTTCGCCCCATTCGGCTTACAAACAGGCAATCAAACTTTACTTGTTACCAATATTGTCGCACACAGGAAAATTCCATTCAGCCGAAATTATATAAACTAAACTAGGTCATGCTGAAATAAGTTTGAGTTTACAGACATCTGTGTTATGGTATGTTATTTAGAAATATAAGTGTAGTTAATACCAGGGACCGTAATCATTATATGCTGGACTGTTTATTTTTTAATATATGTATATATATATATTAACATAAATCCCAAAAATGTCGACCAGCTTTAAAGTATGTATTAAATTCACTTCTCCAAATTTAATATTTTTTAAAACTAAACTCTCTACTTAAAAAACAAAATAAATACAAATTTTATTTATTTTTTTCTATACACCAAAAGAGTATTTTGCGTATCAAAAATGCCTGCTTATAACTTTCTCAGACAAATGCAAATATTCAGCCGATAAGCTCGCACCCAAAGTGTCGGCAAGTTCAAATCAAGAAGTGCTTATCGAAGGCATTACCCACAATGCCCAATAAGACCCACTAAATAGCCCCTGAGCCTGCTTGAGTAATTAACTAACGCAAGTTAATGGATGGGCGGTGCGCCATGACGTATGCGTAATATTTGAACAAACAACCGATTTCAATCGGTCTATGGCGAGAGGCGAACAAAGTTAATTCCTACGCAGCCAAAGTGTAATAGAAAAGACCCCGAAAATCCCCTCACCATTTGCTCAATTTGTGCTCATGTATTTATTGTACATGGAAATGGCACATTTACTTGCTGCTTCCGCTGTTGACACGAAATGGTTCCCCCAAATTCAGCAATCGCAAACAAATTATACACGCAAGTGGCAGCCAATGGGGGCGAATGTTGCTCGAAACTCTTGCAAATGCAAGGCGATGGCACTTTTGCCAGCTGCAGCCATGGACAAGGACACGTCATCTCTTAATAATTTAATGGGTTTAGCAGGCTAAGAGCTACCACTTGAAGAAATTACTATTCATTTGGGATCGATTCAAAGTGATTGGAAACAGAACTCACTTTAGATAATGTGCTTTAGAAATATGGATTAATAAAAATTTATATAGCATATTAAAGACTAAATTTGCAAGGCAATTATTCATAAATTTTAAACACCTAAGATAATAAACAATTTTTTTGAAATAAAATCCTTTTGTTTGTTTAAGAACATAATTCTATGGTTAATTTTCAATAAGTTGCATAATAAGTAAAGCCCGTAAAATAAAAAAACTATTTCGTTTTTTTTTCTAGCAATAAATTAGAAAATACATCACTTTTTCTACGATATCTTTACTGCTTGCTATTGACCTTTACTTTTATTTTATGTACCATACTTGCCATAAAAGCTTGAATTATATAGTTTATTTCTAGCCATTAATTATAGAATACAAAGCTTTTTCCACAGTGCATAAAATAGACCATATGCATGGCCAAAGAAACCGAGTTTTAGACACAAACAAAAGGCATTCATAAATGATAAATGAAAGGGAATTGGGAATTGGGAAATGGGAAAGGGACAAGGGACAAGGAGTACTCACCAAAATTCGACCAGTTGTTGTTTGACCCGAGATAAGCTCTCCAGCCCAGTCTTTCGCTTCTGTCATAAAGGTGCCCTCGAACTCCTGTTTGTTGCGGGAGGCCTTCTGCTCCTTCTGTTTGGGGTCGTTGGGCCCCAGGTCCGGCTCCTTGCGGCAGCAGATGAAGGCGAAGGCTCGCCATAGCAGCACCACGAGCAGGCCAGCAAGGAATGTAAAGATGCTGGACAGCAGAAAGCACCAGTACTTGCGCACCTTGAGACAATCATCGGCGTCGAATGGTGAATCTGTTGGGTCGTCGGCCAATGATTCGACAGTGCTTTGATCACACCCCGACATCCCCTGCAATCAAAATGGGCAATAGGGAAACGATTAGCTCCGCGGCTCACTGGCAATTAGCTAACTAAATTTAGCATAAATCAATACGATAACTGGCGGAAACATTGTTTACGTCATACACTTGACATTTAGAATCAACGAAATGGTTTCTATACGAAAGCACTCGTCCTATATTGTATATATAGATATAGATATAGGTATAGCACATATTTCTCAACTTGGCGACGCTGGCAAATGTAAACAAAGTGTGCCTCTGGCCAAGGGTGCGCGAAATGAGTTCACAAATAAATGTCTCTAGTTTGTTTGGCCAAAAAAAGTTTTTATTTGTACACACAAAAAAAAACCAGTAAGCGAAATTTGCTATAAATTTACATTATTGTGTAATAAAATATGCAATTCTGGAACCTATGCAATAACCCAAAACGTTTGCCTTACATTTGTTTATTGTGTTTTGTTTTGTATAAAAGATAGAAATTGTGTCACATTTATTTTATAATAAACTTAATAAAAAACGTATTTCAGGTTCATTACTGTGCCGTTCTTTATTGTTTATCAGTTTTGAGTTTTAATAAAAAGGTATTTTACCGTATTTTTGTAACTTTTAAGATTATGATTTTGAGTACATTTAATATTTATTATATTATTTTTTGGTAACTATAAATTTAATAATTTTAAAATTGTGTTGCAAAACTTGTCTCTGCACACAAGTATATAGTATTTTTGTTAGCAATCTTCCTTACATTTGTCAATGTAGTGCTGAAATTGGTGCCGATCAAACCGCTAGCCATTTTGGCTGTTTACATTGCGACACTGGCACACAAACGCTGTCGAATTAATATTGCTGTGATATTTTCAGGTGGCGTTCAAGTGCATACGAGTACCAGAGAGAAAAGAAAACCGAAATCTAAGAGTTGAACGCCAAAAGCCTCACAATGCGAAACGGAACGAAAACTTGGCCCGCCTTTTATTATAAATAGCATCAAACAAATCTGTTATTTTTAAAGTGATCTCCGGCAAGACACGCGGCGACAAAAGTGCTCATAACACTGGGCAAAGGCCGTCGAAAGATCGGTGTTCTATAGCCGATCTATCTATCCACTTTTCGAGCCGTAGCCTGTATTCACTGGGGATTTGTACTCTCGGCCAGAGGCCAACGCACTCACTCGCGGTGAATCACTGCACAAACGCATGCGAGTTTGCCATTTGTACGGGGTGTAGGGATATATGTAAGGAGCGCGTATAGATTTAATTATGTATGGTGGATGTCACACACGACGCGGCACGCGATTCGAATCGAGCTGAAGCTAGTGTACTATAGAATGAAAAGGAGGCACCGAGCGAACCGCACAACTGGCGTCCACCAACTGAACGAGCCGCTTTTCAAGTAGCATTTTCCCCAGCAGCGATTGCGATTGCCAAGAGCCAAGAGCCCGCTTCTACAGCCATCTATCTATATCTCCTGGGGGCCCGAACTCTCTCCGTCTAGCTCACCCACTCTCCGGCCGTCTCTGGCCATCTCTCTCACTCTCCGGCGGACTGCGGCTATCCGGCCATTCGGTTGACCGCGAAAAGTGTCAGGACGGGCGACAAACTTGAATTTAATTAAAAGGCAACGCAAAGACAAGGAGAATTCAATTGGGTATTGGAATAAAGAGGATATACCCTAACGGGAGGGTAATTGTAAATGTTTGTAGAAAGGTGTTTTAAGACTTGAGCGGATAAAAAATGTAATGACTCAGAGCTGTGATTGAAGAAAAAAACACAAATCGCTTTTTATCGTTTCAAGTCAATTTACTAAGCATAATTGAATGAGCAAATGTAATCCATTCATTTATTTATATCCCGTTTAAAATATAAGAATATTTTCTATACCAAATTCGATTTGTAACTTTTGCTTTTTACTAGTTCAATATTAAACGTAAAAGTTATTCGATTAATGTATTGTTAAAACAATAACAACTCATTTTGTTGTAATTTTAAATGTTCGTAGTTTTTTTTTAAAAATGTTTGTATTTGGTAATATAATTATTTGGTTGCGTAAAAAAGTATTTTATATTTAAGTGAAATTAAACAGTTTTTAGACTTAATAATTTAAGGGCAAGCATTCCCTAAGAAATTTTGGTAATACCCTTGGAAAGGGCACAACGTTTTGCATGTGTGTATGTTGCCTACAATGAAATATTGTTACAGCAAGAAAAAAAAACAACGGCAGGCCGAGTATAAATAAATAAATTATGAGTTCGCTTCTATTCGTTTTTGTTTTGTCTCTTGTTTTGTGCTCTGCGCCAATACACACACTTTTTGCATTCCTTTTTCAGTGACCCCACGATTCCCCGGGCAACACTCGTCCCCAAAAGGTGGGTGGTAAATATGGTGGGTGGATGGCCTAGTGGTTAAGTTGAGGGGGCGGTAGGTTAACCCGAACGTTAACTGCTACCGCTATCGCTACATTGCTACAGTTAACTCGGGCCAGTCACGCCATGCCGCCAGTTAGCTGTCGTTTCATAATTTACGCGCTTTGTTTGCTATTTCCTGCGGGGGCAGCCGTGGTAACAAGTTGGCCCAGTTTGTTGGCACATGCCACTACTTCCACTGGCCATAATTGCTCATCGTCCCTTAGCCCTCGCATCCCTGCGTTGGCATTCGCATTTGCCCATCTTCATCATCATCAGCTCATCATAAGCCAACGGCGTGCATTTTATTTATAGTTTTTATTTAAGTATCTTTATTCCCTGCTTTTTTGCGGCGATGCTTGGGCGGTTGGGTTCTCCGCTTCATTGCATTTACGCAATTATAAATAGAGAAGAAGAGAAAAATTGTTATTCAATTAAATTTATGTTTACTATTTTAAGCACTATTCACCTTGAATTTAAGAGGTGTCACGACGTATACGTAATTTTTTAGGATCACAAGAGGTGTCACGACGTATACGTAATTTTTTAGGATCACAAGGGAGATTTAAAGGGTGAGGGTAAAAGCTATCAAGTGAAAAACAAAGTGTCTTCGGAGGTTTTCCCTAAAAGCCATCAGCCTTTGACCTTTGACCACTTTGAAATGCTTGAGGACTGAATAAATATTGATGCTTTTAAGGCAATTAAGTTTATACAACTGGGGCGATTGTTTTAGGAAAACAAGCGGTATAAAGTTTCCTTTGAATAAACACATGGGCACGTTTTCTAAAAATTACACTGTGCTTGCCTTTCCTGTGTTTTTGGATTAACTTCCGAGCGCTTTCATCGATCCAAGCGAAAATGCAGTGGCTGGCGTTTAATGAATTACTTATAAGTTGAGACTTGAAACACTGCTCGTTCGGGGAATACTTCTTGCCTTAACTGGCCAAGAGATACTGGAAAACAGTCAGGCGCAGCAGCGGGCAGCTAATGAATGCTAGTGGCAAGCAGATAGCAAGCGATATAAATTATGCCACTAGGCCGATTCCGCTGTCATTCGCTGGCCACAAATCCAATCGAACGGATGAAGTCACACGGTTGATAATAATTTACATTGCGAACTATCGATTTTGGCTGCGTGGGCGAGCCCCTGACTGCGAATACATGGTATCTTGACGCATGTCCGTCAAAGCGAAACGCTCGAAAGGCAGGCCGCAAAGACGGCTGAGACTGAAACTGAAACAACTGAGACAACTGACGAAGCTGACAAATACCCTTCGACTTTCTGAGGAATTTATGGCCAGCACTTGGCCCGCTGATTGGGGCCGTTGATTGCCGGCCACTGGCCACTTTTCCCCGCATTTCCCCTCTTTAACCCTCTCTTTGGCAACTGAACATTGGCCAAGGCCAAAGGGGCTTAGGCTGCACTTGGTCGGTGAGTGTTCTCCATTCGGTGTGTTCTGTGTTCTGTGTTCAGTGTCCAGCGTTCTGTGTGTGCCATTTTCTTAAAGGTCACGCGAGCCATTTCGAATGGGTGGCCAAAGTGATGGAAATGCCATTTATTAAATGAAGCGGAACGAACTCGAAATGGAGAGTGAAGGAATACGAAATCATAATTAAGATTAGATTACACTCACACAAAAATTTACTTTAACGCACTTGATGTAACACAGTGATACTTTTATCACTACCTTTGTCTAAAGGGAATTCTATGTTTAATGTCAACTAATTCAGTAAGCAAATTGTACTGTTGTACATTGAAAAAAGATGTAATCATATAATTAAAATTAAATTAAACTTCTATAAAATGTTACTTTTTAATGTACAAACTTGTCTGTAATGTATTGTTTTAACAATCTTTCAGTACAACTAAGATAAAAATCCTAGCTATTAATTTGCCAAAAAAATAATTTATCAATATATGTAAACTGTTTTTGTAAGCAAGTAGAAAAGCGTTAGTACCAAATGTACAGTAACATTTAAATTAATATTATATATATTGCAAGAATGCATTAATAAAAATATTTACATTAATAAATAAAACATTTCATTGAAAATATTTTTTTACAATTCGAATACTTTAAATACATAGTTTATTCGTTCGGGATCAAGGCTTGCAAAATATTGCGTTTGTAAACAACCCGTCAATCCAGTGTCATTAATAATGTATTTCAAATGTTGTAAAAATTGATAAGGTCAAGGCACTAAGGCTAATGCAAAATATAGTATAATTGCAATTGATAGAGACAATCACTGAACAGCGATGAAAACTATCAATGGAAATATCAAATGAAGGCCTTATTGATAGACGAACAGATGATTAAGTTGCCATTTTAAAAAAATCGTTTGTATTTAATTACATTAGATTAACAATTGGTAAAGGTTTTTTACAAATTAATTATTTGCGTTGGTAAACAACAGGTCATATTGATAGGAACAGGGCACAAGATCATTGCAAAATATAGTACAAATGCAAACTATCATTGGAAATATTAAATAAAGCCTTGACTAATAGACAAGCTGCAGATTAAGTAGTCCCAGTGCTCTTGGTAGAACCGCAAACGTGATTTCTACGATCTGATAGACGATGATCTTTCACAAGCGTGGCGTATTTGCGTACATTTGCGGGTTCACGAACGACATTGAGGGCTTTTTACCTTTGGGGTGAGTGGCGGATAGAACGGTGGCAGTTCGTGGCAATTTGGACACCAGCTGGCCATGTTTGATGGATCGTTCCGGATGAAGTGGTGGTCACAGTGGGTTTCGACGTGGTTCTGCTCGATTTCCCCTCGCTATCCGCTTTCATATTCGCTTTCTTTTCAGGGAGAGTGTTTGGTGTGGTGGTGGTGTAATCGAATTGGAATCGTGTTGGGTGGGTCATGGTGCTCATAGAATGGGGGTAAATAGCACTCACCTAGTACTGGCTAAACCACCGAGGCAGGGCTCCAGGGCTGCCAACATTCACACGGTCAAATCGCACATCAATGTGTAGACGATTTGTGGTCGCTGCAGCTCGACAATTTTGCACGGGGAAATTCTGTGGCTCCTCTTTTCCTCTTTTGCTGGCTGATGGGATTCCCTGGCCTGGCTATTTCATAGTTGCATTCATTGTGTTTAGAACGGCGTTGTTATCGGCTCCATTGACCTTATCAGTTTCATTGTGCGTTTGTTTGTTTGTTTCTTTGCAATTTTGATCGATAGTTCTGAAAGCTTTGAATTTGAATTGGTATTGGAATTGTAATTTGGTTAAATTAGAAACTGCGCTTAGTCACACTGCTCATGTTTCCTTTCAACAATTTTTCTTTGTTTGCCTTCGAAATTTTTCCTTGTGTTTTAAGCTGCAAGAGATTTATGAAGTCGAGCGATGTATTAAATAATATTTAAATTGGCATGGCAGCGACGACGACGAGCGGGGTAATTAATTATGTTTTTTAGTAAAGCTGTCAGCATTATTTGCGTTTTAATTATTTTACGACCGCCGACATTTGTCCAAGTTATTAGTTATATATCTGTTTTAGTTTTTTTTTTTTGCCTACTGCGGGTTTTCTTTTACAATTAATGAGAACTATAAAAAAAACCTCTTTTCTTGCCGGAAAAACAAGACTGTCAAGTAAATAAATAAATAAAGATGCGAAGCAAACTTCAAAGCAAAATCAGCAGCAGCTCTCGGCTCTCTCTTGTAATTCTCTGTAAGAATTCTCTGAGAAATTCTCTCAATTTGTAGATTTTCTGATGGTGGATTGGCGATTGCGCTGAAGAGCGATTCCGAAAATTCTCGTTTGCAAAAGCTTTTTCTTTGACTGTGAATTCTGTCCCATGAATTTTGGTTAAGCATACGCAATGTGGTACTGATTTCGGGTTAGATTTTAAGTAAATAATATAATATTTTTAAAAAGAATTTCCATTAAACTTAGAATTTAATATGTAAAAATGATAATTTGGTTGAAAATGTTTGACTGGCCAGATTAGTGAGGCTTTGCTGTCCTTTCGCCAGCGGCATGTCGTTGAAACGGAAACACACTGCCCTAGTTTTTAGTTTTCCTTCGTGTCACACACACACAGCCGCACAAACACACACTCGCAGGACACACACTTTCGTGCGCTTAACAAGCTGCCTCTAATGCGCCTGCAAACAATGGAAACAGGACAAATGCCGAGTCAAATGAAAGTTGCATTTTCATAATAAATAAGCTGGCGACACAATTTCCCAAGGCACGTTAACTGGGGGAAGGAGAAATGTAAACAGAGCTTAGTCCTTCGTCCTGGCCGCGCATTGAACTCGCCTGTATTTCGGATTCGGGGGCTCCGATTGTGTAGTTTGTAGGTATCTGTACCTGTATCTGTATCTGTATTGTATTGTATCTGTATCTGCGTATACTGGCATTCGGCCACTGACTGACTGACACACATATACCAAGGCACACCAGGCACATACCCCCGATACACGAAGGACAACGAGTGTAGGAAGCAACAAAAATAACATTGACGATGACAGCAGCAAAGGCAGCACAAACACACGAACGATACAAGTGTATCTCCGGCTGGAACGTCGACTTTATCATCGGTTCGGGTGCTCCTTTCGGTTTGGGCTGTTTGTGTGTGTGTGTGTGTGTGTGTGTGTGTGTGTGGTGTGCTCGTTTTGTGCGAAGTAAAAACTGTGCCGTATGCGCATGTGTGTGTGTGTGCATGTGCGTGTGTGTTGACTTCAACGAATGTATCCCTTTTAAATGAAAACCTGCAGCAGGCCCAAAAAGAAAAAACTTCAACTTTTCACTAGCCCACTTTTGGGCTGCCCAATATATGCACACTTTTTGCAATCACAATTTTCACAGCACACACGCTCACTAATTAATTGAATTTCCTGTGTATGTATGTGTTTTCTGGCACATTTTCACGTTTACTTTTTGCTTGGTTTTCAACGGATACCGAATTTTGCAAAATTGCCGTTCCGTTAATTGCCTGAATTGGCCTGCATGTTTTCCTCAATTTTCCCCGTAATTGGCAAACGCAGTTTGAAAATTTTTCACTTTTCCCCGAGCTTGGGTGTGTGTATGGGTAATAGGTCCGTGTACATATATGCGAAAGGCACTTTTCCACACACAGCCACTCACTAACACACCCAGAAAACCAGTCGCGACGCGCTCCGGGCAGAAAACCAACCTTTCTCGTCAGCAGCGTATACAATTCTGAACGCTTTGGACTCCGACGACTTGGCACTCGGTGGCCCAAAGTGGTTCCGCACGGCCCAAGCTCGATTTTGTCGAGCTTTTCGGAGTCCTGCGGTTGGTTGTTGTTGCGGGCTGGATTCCGCCGTTCGATTCATCAAAACTGGCGCCAAAACCCATTCACTATGAATGACCGAGTGCGGTGATGGTGCGATTGAGAGTGTGTCAGTGGCAGTTTCATTCGATGCGATGCACACGTGGCGTATGTGGAATTTCCAAGGAAATCCGTTGCATACTTTCTGGATAAGTGCAAGGACATAATTTGGCCTATTGTTAGTCCTATTGCTTATTCAAGAAATACAAATACTATGTTTTGCAATGTTGTATTATTGTACTGAAATTGTGATTGTGATAATAGTTGTTTAGAACTGCACTGCGAAAGTGTGCAGTGGCGATGCACACGTGGCGTATGTGGAATGTCAATTGTATTTAATAAGGCTTGCAATAAGTTGATTTGATTTTAATTGAAATTTATAAATTTTTGTTCTGTTATATAAGGCATGTTGATTATATTTATATTTAGATTAATTTATATTCAGATTAATTTATATTCAGATTAATTTTGGATTTAAGGTTTTGCAAGCCTGATATTGAAAATTTTTTTTTCAATTTCTTTAACATATTTTGGTGCACTTACAAAATTTTTAAATATATAATTTTACTCTCATTCTCTGAAATTCTATTAAATTTATACTATATAATTGTTAAATTCGAATTCAGCCCAAAATAATGTCTTAATATTAATGTGTATCTTAAAAACTTTATATATTCCGCTTACCATTTACATCTGCTTCAGTCTTTCGTTATTGAATTTCATTGTTTTCTGCGCCATCATCTTGAAATTGTAAATTCAAATCTTGTTCAGCGCCACAAACATCGATTGAAAGCCCAGCCGATTTGGAAGTGGAACGTATCGATAGCCTTATCTAGAGCACCGATAGTTATGTCACCTGGGTTTATTTGGGTCTGACCGATCCGAACCGGCTTTTATTTCCCCGTCTCCAAAGACAAAACTATTGTGAAACCTCTGCAGGATTCGGGACACCGACGGAACGGAAGCACCATGACAACGGCCGTGCTGGGAGGCGGGCTGAGCGGCCTGTCCGCCGGATACTACTTGTTGCGGCGGTTCGGCAAGCCGCTGACCATCTACGAAGCCTCGCCTCGAGTGGGCGGATGGGTGCGGACGGAGAACCGCAAGGACCGCAACTTCATCTTCGAGAGCGGGCCCCGAACCATACGCCCCGTTGGCCTGCCGGGAGCCAATACGCTGGAACTGGTGGAGGAGCTGCAGCTGGAGGTGAATCCCATACGGCGCAGTCATGTGGCGGCCCGCAACAGGATGCTCTTTGCCAAGGGTCAGTTGTGCATGCTGCCCAACAGCCCGAAAGGACTCTTCGGTGTCCTGCCGCCTTTCACTAAGCCGCTGTACAAGGCCATACTGCGCGATCTGGTCACCTCGAGCAAAAAGGCCAAGCTGGAGGACGAGAGCATCTACAGCTTCGCGGAGCGGCGGTTTGGCAAGGAGATAGCCGACTACGCCATCAGTCCCATGATCTGCGGCATTTGCGCCGGAGATGCGCGAGAGATCAGCGTGCGCTTCCTGATGGAGGGACTCTTCGAGAAGGAGCAGAAGTACGGTGGCGTACTCAAGGGTTCACTGATGGCCCGCTTCAAGGACAAGCAGGTGGACTCCAAGAAGGAGGGCCTCTTCGCCCAGGAACAGCCCAAGCTGTGTGCCCGGGCGCTGGAGGAGAAGTGGGCCATGTACGGGCTGCAGGGCGGACTGGAGACCCTGCCCAAGGCCATGCGAAAGTACCTGGGCGAGCGGGATGTCAGTGTGCAGCTGAGCAACGAGTGCCGCAACCTGACATTTAGCCCCTCCGGCGTCCGGATGACCCTCAGAGAGGCAGATGTGCCAGTGGAGCATGTGGTCAGCTCGCTGCCTGCCCACAAACTAGCGCCGCTGGTGAAGCAGCAGCATCCTTCGCTGAGCGCCCAACTGCTGGACATCCCCTACGTGGATGTGCTGGTGGTGAACATGCAGTTCCCTGGCAAACTGCTCAAGCAGCAAGGCTTCGGATTGCTGGTGCCGCCCGTGGAGAAGCTGCCCATTCTGGGCGTGATCTTCGACAGCTGCTGCTTCGAGATGGGCGAGAACACCGTGCTGACCGTGATGATGGGCGGCCATTGGTTTGACCAGTGGTTCGGCGATCGCCCCAGTCCCAAGCAGATCCTCGACCTAGCCACCAGCCAGGTGCAGCGCATCCTGCAGATCCGCGAGGAGCCCAAGTTCAGTCGGGTGCACACGCTGCACAAGTGCATTCCCCAATACACGGTGGGCCACAAGCGGCGTGTGGAGGGCATCCGGAACTATATCAAGACGTACAAGCTGCCGCTGTCGTTGTGCGGAGCCGCCTACGATGGCGTGGGCATCAACGATGTCATCCTGTCGGCCCGGCACCAGGTGGAAGCCATGCCGTCGTCCTAAACCAACCATTCCCAAGGGCATACCCTCCATCCTCCATTCTCCATTGGTATTTCTGTGTTGTATTTGCTTAAGCTGGTTTTGTGAGTAGTAAAGTAGTAGGTCCTTTGTACATTGAATGGGCTTCTCCAGGTTTACTTGCCGTGGCCTCCCAGGCACGGCGGACTCTTCTCTGGCTCCTGTTCCGGTTCCCACTGCTTCGGAGTCTTGGCCTCGATGGACAGGGCGTGCATGAACTCGAATCCGGCTGCTTTGAGGGCATTCTTCACCGTATCATTGACCAATCGGTGGCGCTGTCCCGGAATAAATCAATTAATAACAAGGAACCAACTGGGTTGCGGCCTCACCTTGATGAGGGTCAGATCGTTGAACTTCTCCGAGACGACAAACACCCGGAAGTGGGACTCGGACCGCTTGGGCACATTGTGCTGGGGCGATTCGTTGATGACCTCCAGGAACACCGGCTTCAGCTCCGTGGTGAGTGCCTTCCGCATGGCGAACTCGATGGGCGGATACTGGCCCGCCTGCTGCGACATGGTGGCTCTGGAGAGGATCTGTGCCAAGCTGCTGGCCGAGGGCGTCACTTGATTCAGGTTTCGCGAGGAAACTCCAGCGAATCGGCGAAAGGCAAGACTTGACATGATTCCAGTATGCTTCTGGCACAGCTGTTCACGATTACATAAACAACTATCGACCAGGGCTGTCGAATTTGGCGGAGTAATCGACTTATCGATAGCGACAACTTTTTAAATGATACTTTTTAACGGATACACCTTTGGCAGGCATTCGGTCAATCAATTAATTTAAAAATATATAATTTCAAATCAAATCAATCTACAAAATATTTAATTAATTCAGTTTATTATACCAAATCGGAACGCAAGCAAATATCCACGTAAGTTCAAAACACAAACACTGAATTTATGAAATTTAAACAACAAACACTTTAAATAAAAAATAAAGGTCATAAAGGTCTACCTTTAATTCTTGTTTAAAGAAAATCGATTTAAAATTACAAGCCAACACAGAAACGGAAATTTAAAAAAAATTCAAGCCTCAAAGTTTGTAAGAAAAGTTAAAGTTGAAAAGCCAGATCATTAGAACTTAAAACCATTAACTTTTAAAGGTAAAAAAACTGCAAGAAAATGTATATCCTAAGAAGTGCTAGTTTTAGGAAACTTTTCTGCAAAAACATTTAAATATTTTTTTAAAAGTTCCCTTTTAACTATATCAACTCAAAAATAAAATTGTATTAAATCGTTAAGGGAGCAAAGAAAATAATGTATTTGTTATAACTAATTAAGTACGGGAGTAAAAATGCAAGCGCTTGTCAAAAGACTATCTGATAATAAACTGATTTACAATGTAAGTAAAATTGAAATGTACAAAAAAATATGATCTCTCTGCAAAACCTCTTAACCGTTACAGCTAAAATTATTTTATTGGGGCCAAAATCAACAGTTAACGCAGTACACGCTCCAGAAATGATTCCTAAATCTATAAACAATCGAGCGAATATCAAGTGTATAGTCGAGTGAATAGAAAAAAGAGGCTCCTTCACAGCGCTATCACCGGGTTCAATAGTCAACCAGTTTCTTGAGCTTTGGCGGTGCGGATATGACGACGCGTCCTCTGTTTGAAGAGCCACTGCCACCGTAATCCGCATCTCGATCGCGGTCACGTCCGCGCATCCTTTCGTGCTGCTGCTGCTGCTGTTGTTGCTGCTGCTGCTGATGATGATGATGCTGTTGCCTGTACCGCTCCCGCTCGCGGTTCCGCTCCATGCTGCGGTCACGCTGTCTCCGCCGCCGGGACTGACTCCTTCGGCTGCGGGAACGTCGCCGATCTCGACTGCCACTCCGTCGTCGGCTGTGGGAGCGTCGCTTTCGCTCCACGCGACTGCCACGACTACCGCGACTGCCGCTCCTGGAGCGTGAACGCTGCTGCCGCCGGTTGTGCTGCTTGGGACTGGGCGTTCTTGTGCGACGCCTCCTCTCCGCTCGGCTGCTGCTCCTCCGGCTGCTGTGCGGCTGAGCCTCCGTCGGCGGAGTCCGCCGGCGACTGTGCGATCTGCTGCGGGTGCGGCGGGAGGATGTCTTCGCCAGCAGCTGGCCCTCCGAGGCCACCGACTCCGCCTCGCTGCCCGAGAGCTTGCCGCTCGAAGGGGTCCCATACTTGTGGCGCAGCTCACGCCGCCTGTGAATATGTAGATGTGAGAGGACGCCCAGAAGAGCCAACCACATCAAGATACTCACCTCCTGCGCAGCTTCAGCGCCAGTTCGCGCATCTCGTCCTCACGTTCCTGCTGCTGCAGTCGCTCCCTTTCCGTCTTCTCGATCTCAGCCCTTTTATCGGCCTTATCTGCAAAACAAAAATCCGCTTTTAGTTTTCCACTCCCAGGGATTGCAGAAGGCGCTTGGTGAACATCACACTACACTCCCCGTTGGCTTACATTGCCGGTTCAGTAGGTTCTGCATCTTCCGCTTAAGCCGCTCGCGCAGATTGGGCCTTCCGCCGCCAGAACTCGGATGTCCAGAGCCCTGTAAAACCAGATAGTTATTTAGCAAGTCTCGTGGTGTTGCAATTGAGGCTTCAGGGAGCAGGGGCTGGCAGTCGAAAGTGTGTTGGGCAGTGGGAATCTCAGTCAGTTGTCAGTTCGTCCATGGTCTGCTATCCGTCAAGGACTTCTACGCACTAACTGTAGGACAAGCCAGCTACGGGAACCGAAGCTCTGAATACCCATGCAGATTGGTCGTTTTTTAGGATGCTAAAATAATATGATCATCACAAAAAACTATAAAACGTTTGCATATTTCAATACTATCTTATCATTCTTCTGTCTAAAATTAAAAAAAAAGTGTTATACTAAGGGTATTAGACTATGTGATGTTGTATTTGCAATTATGCCTAAACTGGTCAAATTTCGCAACGCCTCATAAAATATATAGATCACATATACAAAAGTTCGCACAAAAATGGAATACGAACTATATGATAGCTAAAAATGATTGATAATATAACATAGAACTGCATAAACTGATCAAGTGATGGTACGCCTCATAAAACAGGAATAAGGACTTATTGAAAAGATATAAGCTACAACAAAAATGGCTACAGATATTCAGTTCCATGGGAACCTTGCTACTTTCAGAACTTTCCTGCATAGCAACAGATTAACGGAAATGCAGACAAACAGGTCGTCTCTATAAACATAATGGGGTGGCAAATGCATCCTTGATTGCATTGCAATCTCCTGCTCATAATTGCAACGACTACTGCTGCATTGGCATTGAAAGGGGGACACAAGACAATACATCAAACAGGGGGACAGGCAGGGCAGGGATGGTCACTGGTCGGGGTTGGAACGAGGACGAGAACGAGGACGAGAACGAGGACGAGAACACGGTGCTGCCTGCTTGGGTCCGAATGTTGCTCATTGGTTTTGGATGGCGGATTGCGGGAGGCTGAGACGTGAATTTTGTGGTATACTCCAGTTGGGTGGGGCATGTGTCACTTGGCTTTGCTTACTGACTTTGGTTTCGGTAGCAGAACTATATTTGCCTGTTTGATTACCCGTGCTGCTCGATGACGACATGGTCGGCTGGAGGGCATGGGAGCGCTCTGACCTGCAAAAGAGAGATCCCAGAATCAGTTATGGCTTGCACATGTGTCGGGAACTATAAACTACTCTTTGGCTGTTCTACTTTACCACTCTCTGCAGCACACACAAACTTACGCAGTGTCCATTTCCATATCATCGGAGTCCTCTGCTCGCTTTCCCAGCAACTGTTGCTGATGTGGCTGCTCCTCGTTGTCGCTGGCCGCCTCGCTGTTCTCCGCTCCCGACGATGATGAGGAGGAGGTGTCGTTGGCCCTTTTCCGGCCGTAGTAGCGCTTCAGTGGTGGCGGTGGTGGCTCCACCACCTGCGGTTGCACTGCAGCAGCTGCGGCAGCTGTCCCGGATTGGTTTAGATTAAGCACTCGTGCCGGCAGGGGATAGCTGATCATGGGTGGCATTGGTTTTGGCTGCGGCTGGAGCAGCTTCACCGCTGTTAAGGTGGATGTGGTCGTAGTCGTGGTTGTGCTCAGGCAATAGCCACCAACGGTCGCCACTGGAGGCGCTGGTGGTGTGGCCTTCTTCTTGGCGCGACTCCGGCGACTGGAGTGGGAGCGCTCCCGTGAGCGACTCCTTCGCCTGTAGGAGCTGGCACTGGAGCTGCGCGAGGAGTAGGAGTAGCGCTTCCTGGACCGCTTGTAGCTGGGACTGCGCGACTTGTAGCTCCGTTTCCAGGAACCAGATCGCGACCGGCTGCGTGACCTAGTCCTTGTTCTCGACCTTGATCTAGACCTGGAGCGAGATCTCGACCGGGAGTAGTACCGCCGTCTACGACGTGAGCGCGTCCTGCTTCTCCTGTGATAGCTGCGACTGCGACGACTCCGCCTGCGGCTGCCACTGCGACTCCTGGAGGCGGAGCCACTCCTCGAACGAGAGCGGGAGTGCGAGCGGGAACGGCGTCTGCTGCTGCGCCGCTTGGTCGACTCGTTCATCAACTTCAGCTTGTCCAGGTTGTCTTTGACCTTCTGGGCATAGGACACGGAGGAGGCGGCTGCTGCCGCCGCAATGGCCGCTCCGCTGCTGGCATTGATGCAGGACTCGCCCAGCGTGAGGCCCGGCTTGGTCAGGCTGATGGTGATCTTGGAGTGCGGCTGCATCTCGTCCTCGCCGCCGAATGAGGTAATGTAGGTGATCTTCTCCGGTCCGGCCTCCGCCGGCGACGGCGATCGCGAGTCGCTGTCCTCCTCCTTCTCCTTGTCGCCACCACCCTTGCCGCCGCCGCCCTTTTTGTCCTTGTCCTCTTTGGCCGCATAGCTGGGCGGACTGAATGGTCTGTTGGCGATCCGCCGCTCCTTCTGCGCTCGTCGCTCTCGCCTTGACTTGCGTCCACTCAGCAGCATCTTCTCCTGCTCCTCCTCGCGGGCAATGCGCAAGGCATCCGCCTCGTCCGCATCCTTGGTCAGGTGCGAGAAGAAGTCGTTGCTCTTCATGCCGTAGTTGCGACCGCAGGCGTTGAGCTCGTGGGCCTGGGCGGTGTCCAGTTTGCCAATGTCAATGGAGACGTCCATGTCGATGTCTGAGTCGGATTCATCGCTGCCCTCCGCCTTTTCGCCCTTGGTGGGAGCTCCAGCTGCTCCAGCTCCAGTCGAACTGGCGGCCCCAAAGGGCTGCGGGCCAATGGTGGCCACATCGCCACCCGCATCGTCGTATGAGTAGCCGATGGTGGCTCCACCCGACTTCTGTTTCTTCTTGGCCAGATTCCGCTCCGCCTCCAACTGGGCATTGGCCCCAAACTGCTCCTCCAGGTAGAGCTGGTGCAGGAACTTGTCCTCACTCACATTAAGGAAGTCGTTTTGGGCCAGGATGCGATAGCGTTCGTAGTTCAGCTGGCGCTCCTCGGTGGTCAGCTCGGAATCCCCGTCGACTCCTTCTCCGCTTGCCTTGTTTACAGGCGGTATGTGGTCCAAGTGGGCACGCACATCGAAGCGATCGATGAGGTTATCCTGCTGGCCCTGCCAAGGCACACTGCAAGAAAGGACAAGCACTTAGTAAGGAGGACTTAGTCAGAGCAAGGGGCAAGAGAAGGGCTTCAAGCTCCAACTGAATATCACTT